AGCCTTCCATCTGTTGTTCTTTCATGCTCATTCCCATGTCATTGCACTGATTCTTTAGCCTGCTAGCACTGCTAGTATCAGACTACCAGTTATTGCTTGGAGACTGGTTTCAACAGCACCATTATAAATTTAACACACTCTTGATAGTTACTCACACTCTACCTTTCCACATTCTTTTTAGTTTTCTATTGTTTACCAGACATCTTGCATGAGTCGCATCATTTATTTGTCTATCTATCAGATCATTACTTATCTTGCGATGATTCCCAAATCCGCCGGTACTTGGCGCACATAGCCCAATTTTCCCATGTTATTACCATCAGCATCAATGACAGCATTCCTTTACTGTATCACAGAAATTCTGCAGCACCGTTTTCTCCCTCAAAATATTGTCCAAATGCTCAAGTCAGACAGGTTGCTGGTACTCGCATTCTCCTTATATTAACCATGATAGTTCCACTTCTGCATTTACAGGGCTGTCCTTCCTCCCACAACCGCATTCATAGCTCAATAAGCTATGCCTACAATAAGTCATGCTTTTTATTTCACACACCAATTGAGTTGCATGCTACTGTCTGTCACCCTTCAACATCTTCACACTTGACTCATTGTCACCGCTCTTTGGGCCACTCCCATCTCCCATACATAACTTTACATGCTTGAATTCTGTGAATGCAGCCACCTCTGAATACAAACTTGCAAAGGTCAACGCTCACTGGCACCAATGCAATACCAAATTTCAACATGAGCAGGCAGATAAGGAACACAGTGAGGCCGCCATTGTGCATCAGCATGCACAAGAAGCAAAGGCCTTGGAGCTTCAGGTTCTCAAGACCCAGGCTAGGGTTCAGGCAGAGAAAAGAGCTGCTTTGCAGCTTGAAATTAAACTCCTCAAGTTGAAAGGGGGTGTGCCCTGAGCGCCTGGTTATATCATTTGTTATCATTGCTACTGTGTTGTTTGTTGTTCATGGACATTATTGTTGTGTATATTCATTTTTGTTCTGCTCATATCACATGTTTGTTTTTCTATTTGTCAACCATGTCTTGCATATGTCTGCATGTCATACATATATGTTCTACATGCCCCCTACTTCTATGGTAATACATCAGCTGCTTGTCTTGCCTTGTGTTTTGCAAGATTCCTGTAAGTTACTACATCAACAAATTCTCCATTAACTCTGCACAAACTGCATGACCAGGGGTGCCAATATAAGAAATATCACCCACAAGACCTACACCAGGGTCTGGTTACTCTGGGGGGAGGGGGGAATGAAGTCTCTTCCTTCATCCCTAAGGGCCCAATCAGTAGTACTACCTTCACCATCAAAAATGTTACACTGTTCTTCAAAATGAATAATCATATTATGAAGGATGATGCAACACATCACCCAGTAGGAATGGAATTGAAGGTAGTTGTCATTCTGCAATGGGTGTTGAAGCTTCCAAAGAGACTGGAAACGACCCTTGAGAGCAGCAAATGTGTATTCTACCCGAACATGAATCTAAAAAAATTAATTAGATATCAAGAAGTCAAATAATAAAATAATAGATGTATCTTGGATAGTGTAGTATTAAAAATCTTCTGGTCTCTTGTCCAGGACCCATTCAGAGGCTTTTTTAAAGGGGGAATGCACCATGGCTCCAAGGGATAAGCACTATCCACCCAAATCCAATGATTATCTCCAAGAAGCATTTCATGCTGTTGGAAAACATGAGTGGATTGGAATGCAAATGCATCATGTACACTACTAGTGTGACCAATAGAATAATCTACTATAGTGAGATTGTAAGGCAGGATGACTGCCTAAAATATTTTTAAATCAGACAAAGAGGTATTAAATAAAAATAAAACACACTTGGCAGTTAAGGGAATATTGAGACTTTCTGATGTAAAATGACTCTCCATAGTAATTTGGCTTTTGGTATAGATTGAATAGTGATCCGTCAACTGCCAAAATACCATTCCTCCACTATGAGCAGGACTTGGACTGAACATAGTGACGAGCCCATGCAACCTTATGAGAGTCAAGAGCAGAAAAGTAGATAAAATTATCATGCTGTCCAAGCAGGGCAGTCATGACACGATTAGTGCAGTTGGTAACAGACCCAATGCTTATGCCTGCCTACTGATAGATATCCTGATTGGAAGCTATATTCTCATAGTGGCCAGGAAGACAGGGTCACTGCTGATTTGATCAAGGATGTCGTCAAATATATCAGGATTGACATGTAGCTTCATCCAAAATAGGTCAGGGCGATGGACAGCAAAGTGGTCCAGAAGCTGGATCTGTGGTACCCACATAGGAGGCTTATCAGAAATGTGAAGGACACATGTCATCTATACCTTATCCTGAAGAGCTAAAAGAGAGCTGATAATACAAGCAAATTCTTGATGAATCAGAATGGAGCTGCCTGATGTGCCCAAACTGTCAGATGTATAAGATATAGGGGATGGTAGTGACATAGGGGAAGGTGGTGATGGGGTCCTAATAATACCATCCTCTGAGATAGAGGAGCCAGAGGATCTAAGATCTCCTTCTGCTATAACATACTCAACCCAGGCCTGTGCAACATTTAAAGTACTGGTATCTATTTGGTTGGATAAATCTTGACAGCAAGACTGACAAGACATGTGGATGGTTGGGCTGTTATTCCTTTGTTGCAGAAATCTAATCAAGCTGAGTTTCAAGCGGAGTTTGAATACCATGCAAGTGTGTTTCTGCCACCTGCACTGTGCCATGCAACAAACACATTACCGCACACCACCACTAATGCCATCCATGACAGTAGATGTTGCAGCAGCATGCAATTGGACCAGCTCAATCATCTCATCGTGTGCTGGCTGCTCTACCTCATAACCTTACTCCCCACCTACATACCTTTCACCATTAACTTTCATGTCCCAATTTAGCAGCATGCTGGCACAAGAAATCCCAGTGTGTATGAATGTTCATCTTGAGAGCTGCTTAGCTGACACTCTTGTTTTTTTTTCAAGTCTCCTCCCTAATCTACCTCATGCAGGCACTGTAGAAAGCTGATTCCCGCTGGGCTCAGCAGAAATTGTACTATCTAGACAACAATATTTAGGTAGATCTTAGCATGATCTAGTCTGCTATACTTGCAGAGCAAGTGTGTTCGATCCTATAGGGGTAGCTGTTTGGTGTTAGTATAGATAGTTAGTTATCAATAATAGGAAGATAATTCGAAGCTAGGAACCACTCGTCCGAAGGAAAATTGTTGGGTCCAAAAATATTGGAGTCAGGTCGGGTGTTGGACTATGTGTCAGACTGTCAGGGAATGTGTTGGACAGGTAAAGGAATGTGTCGGAAGTGTATCGGATTGTCAGTCAAATGAGTGTCGGATGTGTCGGAGTGTTTCGGAGAAAAAGAGTGGATAGATATTTCGCAATACAATAAAGTACTACTAATATCCAATGACTTCCATCCTACTACTGAGTAGAGAAAAGTAAGTAAGTTCATAGGTAGGAAGTACTAGATATTAAATAGTGTCTATGTAGAAATTTGGAGTGCTATAGGCGAGAGTAGTAGTGATATTTCGGGTCCGAAATCCTATGTAATAGGACATGTGGTACTGCAGACTATGAGAAAACATGTAATAACGCTGTATACAATGCTTAGCAAGTCAAAAGGAGTAAATGTGCACCTAGTGGGGATAGATGCGACTGGACAGGACATAGGAGGGACTGGTCCAATGCGCGGGAATGTTGGGCATCGGGTCGGGATCGGACATGTGTTGGACTGTTGGACTTGGATTGGGGTAGTCGGAAGTGCATCGGACAAATACTGTTTGACATCAGTATCAAAATAGCTGGTTCCGAGCCCAGCGCCATGACCATTGTTACAGCACTGCAGCATTTCCGTGGTCTTCTGGACCAGCCGGTCATTATTCTACTAGGATCCTTATCATTGTTCCTCTTGACACCATCCTCGAAGCATACTGGAGCATGAGGTCATAGATTTCTCAAATGGTAGTGAAACAGCACTATTTTTTATGTTTTTATGTACTAGCTACAAAACACACAACCTTTGGCTTTTTTTTGAGTGCAAATGCTTCTAACCCTAACCTTACAAGTGTGACTTAGAAAGTTTGAAGTGTTTGAACCGCCAAGTACTGTAGAGATACGCACTTAGCTTCATCACAGGGTCACACATCTGATGAATCAAAGCTATTTTGTGTGACCATCACACAAAATTGAAGTCATCAAAGGTAAATTGTGACACATGGTAAAACATGAAAAAAAATGCAAAAATGTTCTCAAAAATTCTTGTACTGAGTATTTGCCATGCATCTCGCTTTACATGACCAAAATTCTCTTCATCACCATCAGCTGTGAGCTCTTGCTAACAGCAGCTGGTAGTGGTGCTGGTTCGAAGCTATTTTTGACATGTCACAGGTCACACCCATCTTCAAATCTTTGAAGCTAAGGTTCAGTTAGTCACACCCAGATGATGTCAAAGCTAAGTGTGTATCTCTACAGTATTTCGAATGTGTTGAAAGATAATTGTTAATTGATAAGGACTACACTGAGTAAGCTTACATAATACGTTCACCGTACTTAGAAGTTTTTCATAGGTTCAAACACCTCAGTCTTCGACTCACGAGACTGAGGTGAGATACACTCATTTAATTCATTTCGTACTATACTGACTACAGTAGTATATTCATACGTTCTTTATAGGTCAGTTAGATAGAGTCTTCGACTCATGAGACTGAGTATATTCATACGTTCTTTATAGCACTCTCTCATTTCATCCATCCTTTCGCTTTTCGTCCGATAGTCGCTCAAAAGAATGGAGTCTGAATTACATTTTTCTGCCAGTTTTCAGAATCTGGTTTCTGTGTTTCTGAATTGTTTCTGAGCATTTCTGAGCATTTCTGAGCCTATTCTGAATACCATTTATGTGTGCAGCATCATTACCACTAGGCCACAAGACTGGTTATGTAGTATCCTGACAATATTTAGTATTTATAGGAGGTTCAATTAAGTTAATGGTACATATCTCAAATATATTTTTAGTTATTACAATGACATATAGTAGGTTAAGGACACTAGTAGAGACTATAATAAGCTTAGAAGCATTGGTCTAATATTTTATTATATGTTTGTCAAGCTTGTAAGACCTGTGATGTCTTGTGTGTCTTGTGACACCTTGTATGGTCAGTGTCACGAAATTTGTAGTTTGCCCAATCCCTGAATACCGACGCTGCCTCACTGGTTGGGCTGGCTGACGTTTTTCCTCGCCGTGGGGTTCGTCAGCTTGTGGGTGAGCGGCAATCTCGCCAGCACCCGAACCGAGCTGACGCTCGGTCACAGCCCAACCACTGTTCGTCTGACCTTATTGTACCTCTACGATAGACGAAGCTGGACTGGCTTTCCATACATAATTAAATACGCCTCTGATGATACATATCAAATGCAATTAATACCCAAATCTTCAGCAATGATCATTGCAGCCCGCTCTCCGATGAGCAGTGCTGTTGAATATGTGTTCTGTATATCGTTAGATCAAACATCAATAATCCCCTGTTCAGGACCCACCGTGCCAACATTCAACGGCGAAATGGACATATCTGCAACTTTCAGGTTCGACACCCCGTATACATTTAGCCGAGCATCGACGACTCCGTGATCTGCCTCCGGTTTCATGGCGCAAGTCCCAAGCTACAAGTACAAAGATCAGATATAGAATCATGAAAAGTTCGGCCGCACACACCGAATGCCATGATGTTTGCACTGATATTCAATTCAGTATTTTACGGCAAGAAAGGAGATGGGAGGTTAGCACTTACTGATGTCACGGTGGAATCGATCGATTGCTTCATCATCTTCAGCAGTGTAGATGATGTCAGGCGCATTCAAGTCCACTGGCCCGGAGGCTTCTTTACAAGCTGCAGCGCTTCCCTCTGGGAAGGCAGGATGGGCAATAGTAACTTCACCTCGGTAGGAAGCCATGCGTCGAAAGATTTCACGCGTCTTTTTGTACCCGAAGTTAATAGGAACAATATCCGATGGACTAGGCGCGTCGTAGTCATCAAAATGGCCTAAAATGAAATGCATCCACTCACTCGTCTAGGTAGCCTGTAGTAAAGTCCATTCCTTCTTTGCCGTCCTCTGTCACGGTGATATGGACGCTGCCGACAGATACGGGGTAGAGCTATTTAAGATATTCAGAAAAATACCATGAGGTAGATGGAGAGTAGTACTGTATAATAACCGGCACACATGTAGTTGCGAGGAGGAAGAACAAGCGGCCTCGAGAGCGGTTGAACATATCTGGCTGTAATAAGCATTCACATATCATCAGAGCGAGGAATTGCGTACGCACCCTGCAAAAGCCAAAAATATCGAAACAGCCTTGTCTGGGCGGTCCTGGAAGAATTCCTTCCAGCGTGGGTGAAAGGCTGGATCCATAGCTTTCAATTCTTCGTCATCAGGACGCCACTTTATTTTCGAATTGAGGCCACTGAAATTCCAATCAGCACGATGCCAGCAGTGATAATGATAACTTGCACCAACTTTTGTGCAATCAACGACTTGCCGGTGCTGTTCCATTGTGCAAGTTGTTCTGAATTTTGGTGGTTGTAAAGTGCTGCAATCATGAGTAGAACATGCTTACCCTGTAGGAAACTCTCCTCACGCCAGAGGGGGTCCATGGTAATAGCCTCGTCAGCAGCCAAGTATGGAGCAAAGACGAGATTGTGATCTGACCATCCTAAGCCAAGCTTTTGAGAAATAAATTGAAAGCGCACCTTGATAATTTTCTCCGACACCGGGTAAATTCACCAGCTGCTCGACACCGCACCGCTTGAGGATCGATTCAGCACCAATACCAGATCTCTCCAGAATCGCCGGGGAACCGAAAGCCCCAGCAGATACAACGACGAGTTTTGATGCTCTCACAATACTCAACAACTGATCCGCGTCTGGGCAAGATACTAGATCGCTGGTGAACTCAACGCCTACAGCACGCTTGTCCCTTTCGTTTGGAAAAAACTGTCAATAGTTTGCTGCGGCTGCGATCTCGGACAGCTACTTACTCGAAGATGACACGCTTCACGCGCTTTCCGTCCCAGACATGTAAATTCGGGTTGTGAGCTTGGTTGTAGACATAGTTGTGAGCCGCGTCTGAACGCCTTCCGGTTGTCCCGTCAATGTACCTTTATAGATGGGTCAACAATTCGCAATTGCCTACGAGTGCAGGAACTCACTTCCGCCATGGCTGAGGCAGATCTAGTTAGTCAGTAGTCGCAGTTTAAAAAAGGAAAATGATAACGTACACTGTATGCATTGCATGTTTCCAAATCATCGGTGTCATCGACATACTGCCTCTTGTGATAGGTTGTGCCAACCTGGATGAATTCGTCCGAGATGCCCAGTTTACACCCACCAGATGACACTTTGATGGGTCCATTATATCCATGAGTTGGACGATCGGGCTGTACCTCGTATGTCTCTATCTATAAAGTGGGCGTGTAAGCAATTCAAACAAATATCCTGAAAAAGGATTCGAGACCTTCTTCATGAGGGGAATCAAATTCTCAGATTCCCAACCATCGGCTCCCCAATCATCATAGTCCGAAGCAGGTGCACGGGTGTATGCCATAACTGTCTCATTATTAGGGTCTTCTTCATGTTTGCAAGTTTGCTACGCACAATTCACACATGAGCTTCCGCCAACGCAACGACCACAAGGAACGATCGGGGCACGGCCGTTGAGACGAGGAGATGGATTTCCGATGTTGAATGTGACTGTGGTGCTCGTCGGTGCTTGGTTGAGGGGATATTGGTAGGGTTGGACATGAATAGGTTTATTGAGGGTGTGTTGACCGGCTTCTAGAATCAAGATCCTGAGCGAGGAATCGCATGCGGCCAACCGACCTGCGACAACACAAGCTGTAGAACCACCTACACAGAATACTGTGTGAAGAGCGAAAACCAGTAAGAGATGATATGTGATCACCTCCAGCAAAAACGATATCGAATTCTGACAGGATTGGATGAGACATCAAGATGAAGGCTTACTTTCAGGCCTCCTCTTGCAGCCATCTTATAACCTCCACTGAAGTGAAGCCTATCTTGGCGCTCATCGGGGATACGTCGCAAATTGTAAGATGAAGCCTGAGAGAGTAGACTGTGATGAATGGCGATAATGAGTCTGCCAGGCCACGTAAAAAATACGGGGTGCGTCCGTATGTGAGACTGTGTAATTATAATTATTAGGGATGAATGACGGTGTCGTTTGCAAGTCGTAAGGGAGCCAAACACGCGCTAAGGGTCGCTAAACCTACCTAAAGGCGGTTGAATCATAGTAAGTGTAGTAGTGGAGGGGGCAAAACTTAGGTTCAGTTTTGCTGGCCCAGTGAGCCTATAATGTTAAAATACGTACCCAGGTTTGGCCTCACATGGCTGATGCAGATGGGTCTAAGGTGTTGCAAACACTCAGTACACCGTGACATGTCGACGACGGGTGCGATCATTTGAAATTCATTGCAATTGCAACCGCTCTCGCATATTTCCGACTCCATCTTGGCTGTACTTACTACTCTTGAGTGTTCTTGCTTTGCACAACATCTTGGGAGCTGTCACATATGTGCCATGGATATCTGCGGCATTAAGCTTATCTTTGCTTCTCATCAAAACCTAGTCCTTTACGTCGATGCTTTGCTAACTTACGTTGGACAAGCTTCCTGACTAACTGCATTCTGTGAGCTCGATCTATTCATGAAGTCTTACGGACGCTTGCGGAAAAGGATCCAACAGTTTCATCACAATCAATCGTCATTCCGAGTTCACACTGCCAAGGCCAAGCACATCGAAGTTACGCCCGCCCGAGTCGATTTTTACCTGATAACCTGCAAGCGCTTTCAAGTCTCAACCTCTAACATATCTATTAGAGAGTGGCCTCGTCCTTGCTTATGGCTTTGCTCGATCAACAGACAACGGCAAGTCTGTGCACGGATATGTGTGTGGTACATTACAAGGAGGTAAGACTTGACTGGTTTTTAATGATCACCATCCTGACACACGCACTTTTAGTATTGCTGCCACTGCGACGCCTCGATCAAGGGTGCAACCAAATACGTATCAATACCGTGTCGCATGACTGCTCTTCCATCACAAAGTGACATACACCGGGGGCTGTGGTCATAAGTCAAATATCTTTAATCTGCGCGTCTATGATGCGCTGACCTCCCTGTCCCTGCGGCCCATGTCAGCTTCTTCCAAACCGACAGAACATCTTTCCGGCCTTCTTGCATACAACGCACTCCCGGGTTATCAGCCCTTTGACTCCATAATGTCTGATGCGAAGTCCATTGCTGATGATAGAGCCAATTTCTACAACCGCAGTCTGACGAGTCGCGGATATGCCCTCGTTGGAGTGGCATCCTCAATTATCTTCAGCTGCTTATGCATCATTGCAGGTACTGTCACGTTGATCCATCACGGAATCTCAGGAGTAACCTTGCTCAACCTGGTGGAAGTTGAGGAGTTTTCTCAATTGATGCTGCAGGCGGAGATATTGACCCTGATACTTGACTTAATCGTCACGTTATGTACGGAGTCTATAGGCTTCGTACATGTCATCTCATTGCGGTCTGCGCTAGCCTCAGAATTTCGACTTCGTTTTAACACCAATCTGCGCCTTCTGACCGCAGCTCGTGGATGGTATCACCCTAACGGTGCCTTGCTTAACGGTATCTCGGCTATCCTCCTCATTATATCATACAGCTCAGCCTCACTCGTCGTATGTCTAAACAATGGAGTAATGTCAACTATGGCAGACATATATTATACTGTTGCCATCGCAGGGTTACCTCTCCTTTGTCTGGGCATCGCACTCCTTCTTCAGGCCATGATCGCATTGTCAGGGATGCGGGCTGTCAATATCTTGACGTGGAGCTCCTCACCTTTCGACTTGACCGCCGCACTGGTCCATCATACGCAATTGACCGGTTCTACTCTCCGGTGCATGCGTCGTGTGTCTGACTTAGACACGCATGCAGGTCCGGCGAGGCCACCAGAGACACAGCCCTCTGCGTGGCACGCTCATCCTAGCATTAGGAAAGTTGTTATTTGCCTTTGGTTCACCGCTGCAGCATGTGCTGGATGGGCCGCACTCGTCATGTATATCTGGGACCACTTCGGCGGATTTTATTCCCTCCCACTGACCCTACAAACGTGGTCCTTCCTCGTGACGAAGCAGTCCAATCGCATCGTATATAATATGCCAGGTGTTGGTCTTGAAGGGTGGATTCTGCTCTTTGTCAACATCGTAGCTGTCCAGGGACCGTTGACGCTTGGGCTCCATTGCTCGGAACTCATCGTGAATGTCATTCGAGACGAAAGACAGTGGAGATGCGCTACCAAAAGCAAAGGACTTAGAGCGGTGGCGAACCCGCTGGAGCCAGTTTTCTCTCATCCGATTTCTCTCATACTTCTCATTGCAAAGCCTTTCCTGCGTGAGTCATCCATACCTAGTATGCCATTATCGATGTTTTATTGAACACTATCCTGATGATCACAGACTGGATGTTTGGGCTTTCATTCATCATATCGGACTTAGCCATGGACGGGTACCTAATGAATTTGTCGGTATACATGTACACTGCACAGGTTCGCACTTACTGCCCGTGTAAAATTGTTACAGCATTCTCACATGTTCTTGCAGATCTGGAACTTATGCATTGCGCTCTTTATATTTGCCTGTTTCTTCACTTTCCTCGCACTGCGCCGACCGCACGGCCCCCAGCCGGCTGCATACGGCCACGTCCAGACGCTCGCCAATCTCGTAGACGAGTGGTCGCCTGTGATGTGGTGGGGACACAAGGAGGATGGTATTCCGTATTGTCATGCTGGTGAGGTACTTGTATACTCACGATGACGCTGCATTGACACTTTTGAAAAGGAACAAGCGATCACCCGCTACCGGATGTGAAGATGGACTGCGTTTATGCTGGTTCCGGTGCTGACGCTTTGCTTCTAAAGGGAATTTCTTGATTTCTATGTTTAAATAGAGAGCTACGTCACTCGGCCTGGCGATACATTGACGGCACAGTGCCAACCACATCGTGGAACGAGACGTGTTATTTTTATACTGTTTACCTACTGCGGGGAGGACATGTAGGAAATGGCCAGTATGTATGAAATCTGCGCAGACTCCGCGCCAAAGTCTGGCGACATGTCTATGATGCAGTGACTCGCACGGGACAGTCATTGGATAGGCCCTATGTGAGGTACTTTGGTTTGTTTATACACATGTATGGTATTGGTATTGGCCCGGGAGGGTGTATATAGTGCATAAGCTTCTCGGTGGTGTGAATGTCCCTATTAAATTATGATTGTTGAGTTTGCAAACAGTAGAAAGACGTACATAAGATAAATGTCCATAGACAGCAATGAAAATATATTTTATGTTTTGTCTCCAATGGCCTAGAGAAAAAGATCCTTATCGCGCTTTTGTAAATCGTAAGCCAGTGAGTGAGAACGAGTCACGTGAGGTGCACCGCGTCACGTCGTCCAACTTGAAGTTCTGGATGTTGTGTATGTTAATTGTGTGATGCCCTCTTTATCCGACCAGATCGACCATCTGGCTTCCCTCTCCAAATCCATTAAAGCCAGTGCTGATGGGTTTCCCACCTCGAATGGGCTCTTCACAACAGCTGTTCTTAACACTGCTCTAGGTGATCTGATCCGTGATATCGACTCATCTGAAATCGGTCTCTTCACATTAGTCCACCCACCGTCTCATGTACCAACCGAGTCTGAAGCAAGGGGTATCATATCACGTGTAGAATTCCCTGGAGCTACGCCTCTGAAGAAACCACCTTCTCGAAGGCAGGAGATGACAAAGCCCAGAGAGTATGAGCCAGAAGTATATGCGCAGGCTGCATTAAAGTACTTGGATCGTTAGTATGTTTTATATCTTTCCACGGCATATATTCTGTTTCAACCTGTCTTGTGCGGTATTCCAGTCACTCAATTCGCCCAATGCCCCGCGCCCGATCCCAGATACAGGAACTTATAAACCGGCTAGATGAGACGCGACGGAATATCAGAAATCTTAGTGAAACACTACAGCAGGTTTGTACTATCAATCTATGGTTTCAAAAGTTTTTAATGTTCCCCATGCAGCTAACAAGTATCGATCCCGCATCAGACCCAAGCTCGCAGGAATCCACTGCAGCAGACGAGGAACGACGCATACAAGATCTCCAGGCTCGTCTTACCGAACTGCGTAAACAGGTGTGTGCCTTCCATACCCATGTGACCTTTAGTTTCACACCTTCACAGAAAGATGATATCATTCGCACCTCCAATCCTGCTCCCAAGTCTAAACCCGCTCCGAGACTGGCTAGAGTTCCCTCGCCTCTGACTGTACCCGAGGCTCAGGAAGAAATGTTCTGGAACACGCCTGCCACATCTGCGCGGACGCTTCGCTTCACCGAAAAGCTCATAGATGAGGAAGTGGACATCAACGACGTGTCAGTTATGTCCTTCACGAGCCCGGTCCCTCGGCCCCGGTCCGTATTGTCGTCACTAGGTCTTCCCGTGGACGATGATTCCCTAGATAACGGAGAACCAGATATTGAGCAAGACGATTCTATAATATCAGATGCATCAGACAAGCTTGAGGAAGAACCCTCAGGCAGTGAGCTGGAAGTGGATGATGGAGATGGAGACGGAGACGGAGAACCAACCATGGTTCTTAAGAAGCTGCCTTCATCGTTAACACTGAATCCCACACCGCCAGAAGATACTACGCCTCCTGAAACACCGTTGCCTACAAATTCAGAGTTGCAGACTCATGCTGCAGGACCTCCTGAATCCGCCAGAAAACCAAAAGTGCGCATGAATGTGGAGATCGAAAAGATTGTGGTAAGTATCCTAGTCACTTAACCCAAAAACTCATAGGACTGAAGCAGCACTTGATAGCTGAAGATATGGAGCACTATGGGCGAGATCATCATGCCGGGCCATCCTTTCGACCCCACAGGATCAATGTCAGGCAGAAGCAAACCTCCGAGGGCAAAGGAAACTCTGTACGTTCAGTTCAGTTTTCCGTATCTAATCTACTGACACACCCTAGTGCCCATCTCGAATCGCTCTCCTCCCAGACCCCTTCACCTACATCCCCAACTGCATCCTCATTTTCATCGCTCGCGCCGTCTATGATCACTGGCGAGCCCACCTCGCAACAGATCACAACCTGTCAACTTTTACTCACTCTACTAAAACAGCCTAGCTGCTCGATGTCGCTCAATAAGCTTAAGGAAGCGCTGGCGGAAGGTGAACACAGTAGCGCGGGTGGCACGCGAGCGATCTATGCCTGTGTGGCAAAGAAGTTGATCAAGATTGAGCGAGGGAGCGGGGAGCAGGTCGTCAAGTTTGACGTTTGATTGCTTCCAGCTGCTGCCTTCATTTGATGTAGTGTGATGTAAGCACTCAAATATGCATTGTAAACGGAAAGAAGAATAGTCTTGAAGGCCGAATATTCGGCAATGTTTACCATGTACTGGCAATGTTGTTGATATGATGATCACCGTGTTGATATCAATCAAAATGAATTACTTATATGAAGCCTTGTTATGCAACGTGCTCGACCAAATTCCCAGCTCGTGTAACCTGACGCGCTTCGAGCTTTTCTATCTCTGTCCACGACCTGCATCAGTGGTAGCTTGTTTAAAGGTCTTTACGGTTTCATTACGTGCTATCAAGCCAGGTTACAAGACGTCGTTTCAGCCATTTTCTAGTAACCTTGGTAAACTTATCTGTACCGACTTAACTGCCTCTTGGCTAATCATATAAATAACATAAAGATGGGCTCTGCAAACGCACAGCGCAAGGGCGTTTGGGAGCCCTTGCCGCTCATCGTCTATGGCTATGCCGTCCACCCACTATCGCCCTCCAAACGCGACACCAGACTGTCAAGTCGTCGACCCATGTCGACTATTACAGAGGGCTCCACGGAGGAAAGCGGTGTACACAGGGATGTGGTCTCCCTCGAAGTTGGTGACGAGGTCTACGCCTTCGAAAAGTATACTCCAAGAGGAAATCAAGCGGATGGCATATGGTACAGAGGGTGCGTTATACTGATGACGGAGTTCTCATATTGTCTGGAGCGCTTACTGCTTGATGACATCTAGCTACGTAGTCTGCACTGCCCGCCTTCCACCAGTCACCTGGTCTACCTCCTCTGATCCAACTTCATCTTCAACCGCCAAACCAGTTAAAACCGAGGAACCGCAACAGGTGTTCATTGGCATATTTCCTGCATCCCATATCTTTGTCCGTGATGAGCTCTCAGACGCCGAAGGACGCCTGCCAGATCTTGTCACTTCCTTTACAGGCAGCTCCTCGAACCACAACGGGTCAGTAACTAGTGCAGACTACCTTGCACAATGGAAGCGTGAGCGCGCAAACTCTGGCCCAGAACCCCCTCGCGAGCACAGAGAAAGAGACCGGGAGGTTAGAGAATTGACATACGACGATGAACGGAAATCGTTCAAACTTGGGCCTCCGCCAGACCAGGCCAAGTCCACTCGTGCTGCGCTTGTCGTATATCCAGCGAGCATACACTCTGTTCCGGAGTCCGAAAACATGAAGCCCCTTCCTCCACGTCCATCTCTGAAGTCAGGTGATGATACAGCCTCTGGCGCGATGCAGCCCATCATCGACGAGATTGCTAGTGCCCTTCGAGAATGGCATAGCATGATGTTCCAGTACCTTGCAAGGCGCGATTACAAACTCTTCCATACAGTCCGTGAGCATATCGAAGCGCTCCACCTTGGGCGAAGACAGTTACTTGCGCAAACATTGAGCGCAGAGGAGACAGTCAGTCTGAGGAGGGATTGCGTTGCGCGTCTGGTAAGCGGCAATGTGGTGCAGGATCTTGATATCATAGTTCGCCATCCGACATGGGGTGCGCTTGTGACAGTGGATGTAGAGGGCGAGATCGACCCTCGCAGCTGGGTCAGCGCTGTGCGGATGTATGCCATGCAAACTTCTCTTGCATATATCAATGTACCCATAGACAACTCATCCAAGCTTACTATCGGACCTTCCGAATTCTCCACAATACCCGTACCCACTCTTGCACATTCTGCATTCCCTGATGTATCCCGAAACAAAACCATCTCCCGACAGGCCGGTTCCCTGGGTTTATACCAGCCTGAGAAACCCACTGCTGCCAAATTCTACCACATCTTCCTCGACCTCCGCGCTTTCGTTGCAACCCCTTGTGCACCAGGCGAGACGGCCGAGCTTTTCTTTTCGGTTTACAAGCATTCTGAATTCCCGCGGTTTGTCACCGAAGATTGCTGCATCGTACTTAATCACAATGGGGTGCTGTCACGTGATCCAAACGCCCGCATCCGCTCGCTCTTCACTGATATCGCGCAGTCGGATGCACAGGACCCGCTATTCCTGGTTTGTCGTATCGTGCGGAACGGTGCGCTCAAGATGAACAATACTATGGGATCAGGTGCACCTGGTGAAGGCGGCCGTAGGCCGTCTGAAGCATCGCTGTCTGATGTCCCATTAACACCCTCCCGTACGACTCTGATATCGGACGTCCCGATGAACTTCCGTCGGCCGTTTGGTTGCGCAGTGCTCGAGTTATCACAGCTTACGAAGATGATGATCGATGGTACAGATGTGAGCCCGATGAAGGAGTACAGCATGCCGATCTTTGTGCCTACCAACGAAGCACTTTTCTCGATGTTACATCAGGACATCATCGCAAATAACGTGAAAGAATTCGAGAAGTCGCCAAGGTAAGCGTTACGATCAATTCTCTGTTCTGGGTCCTGATGTCGCGACCAGGGCTGAGATGCTTGCTGTTTCCGTGAAGATATTCCACGGCGACTCATCCACCATCATTAGAGAGAATATGTCTCTTCTGCAAGGCATCCCGTTGACCCTCCGGCTTGGATTTCCCGACGTGGTATTTCCTGGAGACGTGCGCAACGAGCTTTACATCAAGTTATGGACGGGGGACTTCCCATCCTCCCCCATCGGTTCCGCCCGACTCAGCATGGTCAATTTCACGCGTCCCGGCCCAGTGTCCCAAAACGCTCAAGTGACGATCGAAGTCAGAGATCAGGAGGGTCGCACCATTGAAAATGCCATATCTCTGGGTAGTGGCGAGCCCAGCGTGACTCAGTTCCATTCAATGGTCTTCATGCGAAACAATCAGCCAACATTCGGAGAGCTTATCAAACTCCAGCTTCCGCTTCGCGGTATTCCCAACTGGCATCTATTCTTCACATTCCGGAATCGCTCTGGACGAGGGCTCAATGCGGATAAGCCGTTCGCGTTTGCATTCCAACCACTGTTCCCCGGTCAAGGGGCGTTTTTGGAAGACGGGAGTCATACTTTAGTACTGTACCGAGCAGATAAGCTGTCGCAAATCACGCCTGACATGTACCTGGCGTCCTCGCCGTGGGTACTCCCCGGACAGCGCCCTGAACAAGTTTCCGTATCGCCAGACCTGCTGAGGCTAGCTTCGCCCATGAGGGACACTGCCATTATACGGTCATCTCTCTGTTCTACGAAGTTTACACAGAACCCTGTGCTCATGAGCTTGCTCAACTGGGAGCAAATCAACGACAAGGAACTACTGCAGACCGTCCTCAGCAAGTTTACCTTCGTGGGTGAAGGAGAAATCGTCAAGTTCCTCAGGGACATATTCGATTCACTCTTCGGTATTATGGAGTCGCAGAAAAACCAGGCCGGTGAGATGGACCACCTCGTCTTCAATGCCCTAGTGACTGTCCTCGGTATCGTGCAAGATCGTCGATTCAGCAATTTCCAGCCCGTCTTAGATGTTTATATCGAGCAGCATTTCAACTGCGCTGCAGCTTCTTCGCACATGATCCGCTCGATGGACCGTCTGCTCCGTAATCCTACTGGCAATGACTCAGCCTCGCCTTTACGCGCAGCACTTAAAGTTTGGCATTATATCTTCAAGTTTATCACGCGTGCACGAGAACTCCAGAAGAGCACTGAATTGGGCATGGGTGACGGGGCAACCGCCGAGCACCTGGAGACGATGTTCAAGAAAGAAATTCGTATCCATCTCACTGAAGTTAACAAAATGATGGCGACTACATCACCAGCGTCTATCATTGGCACACAGACCATTGCATTGCAGCACTTTACGTCCATCCTTCCAGAACTTGCCAAGATTATCCCCACCATCGAGCTTGTGACAGTCGCTACAAACTTCGTCAATGCTGTCTCGACTGGCAAGGGCAAAATTATCATATGGCGGCTGATCATGTACTTGCAGATCGTCAAAGGTTTCTTGTTCGATAACCCTAACTCGCGGTCATTACTCGTTCAAGCTGTCGTTATGTGGATTAAGCCTCACTTTGGCCGCTATGATGAGTTCACGCAGACCGCCACGGCGGATTCCGATAGTGTGCGTGAGGCAGCAAGGGTTAGCTGGCTGGAATCTATCCGGCTTTGTGTGACGATTCTTGCGGTGATGCTAGACAAGTTGCAGCTGCAGTTGGTGTCGTCATCAGTCATGGCGAATCGCAATTTGTTCAGGCAGGAGCAGGAAAACATCGAGTATATACTTATGCTCATGCCGAGGTATGTGTTCCATATCCTGGCATAGTTATAATGTATTCATGACCTTGCAGGCTTCTCGACTCTTACCGCGAGTTCCAAAATCCAGCTAATCACCGTGCGGTGGAACGGACGCGCACTCCGACTACAACGACAGCCGCAGTACCTATTACATTCCCGGAGTCTTATCCATTTTCCCTCATGGCTTTGTTGCCCAATGCTCCCCGCAATGCTACCACCACATCGCTGACGCACGAAGACAATTTACTCTTCAACCCTGGCTTGGGCGAGACAGCCATAGTCCTCCTTTCCCTTGTGCTCTCGGCTCCCACGAAGCACATCTACAACTTTTTGGAATCTAGTTATGACATTGAAGGGAAGGAAAACTTCGCCAGTCTGCTGACGCAGTTTTTCAAGGTTGCAACATCTATACTAGAGAATGATGCCTTCCCAAGCAACTGGCTGAATGTGAACATCCTGACGCACAAGGTGTTGATCAAGATGATGGATCCTGTTGCCACGCTTCTAAAGCGGATTTTCATACCCCCGCCGTCAGCATCGCATCAGTTCAAGACGGAACTGTGGAAGGACGCTTTCTTCATGTTGCTGAAGCTTTTATCATCTGAGCAACTTGTAATCGAAGATTTCAGTCCACAGGCATGTATCGTTGTATGCTGTATTATATGTTCTCACGTTGGGATACAGAAACGGCGTGCCGTATGGCGTCTGGGAGGCGATATTCGAGGTGAAGGTGCAGACATACTGCTTCGGCTATGGGAGGCTCTCGCCTGGCCGGAACCGACAGAATCCAGCTCTGTGTCTCAAGGGGTGCGTGTTTCCCAATACTAGATCTGGTCTGGATGTCCAAACGCTTGACAATGATACCTAGGGCTACCAAGCGGTCCTGAGCTCGTTAATCGGGTACATCGTAAACCTCTGTCTTAGTCATCACGACCAGCTAAGAAACAATGCGGTTGGGATCCTGTTCGGCATGATCATTTCAGAATATCATCAATACGGCCACTTTGACCAGATCGAGACGGAACTGGTCAGAAAGCTAGATTCCCTCTTCATGTCCCAGTCCAAGGGCGATGACATCTCTCGCGTATTCTTTATTGAGCAATTGCGGCACCTATTTGAGTCGTCCGAGGTCGACGATCAACTTAGGGAGCGCGTCTCAGCTTTCCTTGACTCTGTAGATGCCTTCCTCAAGCTCCTACTTAATGTTCGCAGACTGCCTGAGGGCGAGGAGTTTGCTGATGACCGTGTAATCGCCACTGTGAGTACCTTTATATCCACTAAGCACCCAAACGAGATTCTCAAATACTTTCTCCTCTCAGCTGCGCCTGATGAACTTCATTCGCGACATTGGTAGGGAAGAGATGTACATCAAATACGTGCACCAGTTGGTCAATGTGGGTCATCGTATTGCTAAGGATTGATCTGTACTGATATGTTCGAAGGCCCACCTACAATCACAAAATTATGTGGAAGCTGCGTTGACTCTTAAGCTCCATTCTGATTTGCATAATTGGGATCTCTACTCGTTCGTTGGACCTATGGAGGATCTTGGGCTGCCTCAACAATCTCATTTCCATCGGAAGGAGACCTTATGCTTATTAATTTTGGATTACTTGGGTGAGTCTACCGCATAGCTTCTATGCTTTCAATTGTATCCTCAGTACTGTGTAGGCAAAGGCAAAGCATATGAGAGCGCAATCGAAATCTGTAAAGAGCTGGCAAAGCAACACGCCGAGGTCACATTTAACTAGTATGTACCTGCGAAGCTTCGCTGTCTATTGATTGATTCTAATCATATTTGTAGTGCGCGGCTGGCAGAAATCTTACGTCATCAGGCTGCATTGTTCGAGCATATCATCACAGACCAGCGTTACTACTCAGACTATTTCCGAGTGGTATTTTATGGAGACTTCCCTGACGCCTTGAGGGGTAAACAATTCATTGTACGTCAGTCACAACCTGGCATGGATATATTTACTGAAAATTTTACATGCAGTACCGTGGATATGAATGGGAGAAATTCGGCACCTTCTGCGAGCGGCTGCTTAACAAACACCCGGGCGCTCAGTTGCTAAAGAGCGATCCTACAGCAGATCAGCGATTTGGAAATGATCAGTACATCCAATGTACTGCTGTGACTCCCGAGCCGGACCGGACCCTTCCCATTTTCACCAGTCCCGATGTCCCACTGGCCATTCGTAATTATTACGAACACAGGTCAGTTCCTTCGTTTCAACGAGCTGTACGCAACTAACCATTCCGGACAGTGCCATCAACGTCTTTAGCTCTACTAAGCAAACAACAAAGTTCGATCGTGATGGTAATGAGGAGATCTGGCTGGAGAAAACGTCCTTTACTACCGAACAAGCTTTTCCAACTGTCCTTCGGAGATCGGACATTACAGAATGGGAAGTAGCCGAAATATCGCCTGTCGAAAATGCTCTCCATGAGGTCGAACAAAAGTCGAGGGAACTAGCCTCATTCCATCTGCGGTATGCTGCTCTTGCAAAAACTGCCCAGGTCTTTTCGACAAATGCTCTTTCTATGAGCCTCAATGGAGCCGTTGACCCGCCTGCGGATGGACTTCCGGCTTATCGTGAAGTATTCTTTGATCCTGCGTACTCTGCCAGGCACCCTGATAGGGTGGAAATGATCCATCGTCTCAGAGTCGCGATAGATGATCAGGTGTGTTTGAGGATCACTGTCGAAACGTTGCCCAATTTGTTTACCAGCGATATAGGTGCGGGTGACAGACAGTTGCTTGAAATTACATGGTCAGATCTGTCCACAAGAGATGTTGCGGTTCCATCAAACCTTGGAAGAGCTCTTCAGAAAAAACTTCGTCGAAGAAATTCAGCGTATAGCCGCAGAAAACGGTTTCCAACATATCCCACAGTCGTCTGCCGTCTCAGTACGGGCTCACGACCAAAACTCGTTGTATGACAATCAATCCCATCCACGGTCGCCGTCGACCTCATCAGGACGACCATCCTTTGGATTCCCTCTTTCGGTTGGTGGCTCATCCATGAGTCCTCCACCAAATTCACCCCTATCATCGCGTCCCCCAGTCTCCCACCATCATGAAGGCGTCAAGCGCACCCCGTTGCAGCTGCACGCCGCACACGTTGCTCGTCACGGTATTAACGGAGTGTTGACTGGCTGGCGAGACACTCCAAGTGATGCTGGCTCTCTACGGGATTCATTGATCACAGTCGGAAACACAGGCCCAACACACTCACACTCTGGCGCCTCTGTGGCAATGTCGACTATAGGCAGTGTGAATTCTATCAAAGGCCGCTTATCATCACGATTCGGTAGCCTTACGCGCAATCGTCGAGGTTGATATCGGTTTAGCTGTTGTATATCTTAGTTTCCTACTTTCAGTATCTCATTCCTGGATTCTCTGTGTCGAACTTGTTTGATTCCTGCTGCCATTCGTTTTCACTGACTGATACTCTTCCTGTTGAATACATTTACATTGATACCCCAATGGATTACATGTCGATACAGTACATTAGGAGAGGTATAACGCTAACTACAATGGGCCATACGAATATCAGAGCGTGGCTCTCCAGAGACGAAAAGAGTGATAATACAACAGAGGGCACAAGAAAAATAAAGATAGGATAGAGCAGATAAATGATGACGCAAGGATAATGTATAGCACAGATGAGTACAATGAATGATCATGCGACCTGACTAGCCAACGAAGGATTCATACTGTGCTCTCGTAATGTCTGGAATTCGAACGAGTCGTAGGTGTTCATGGCATATTGGGGGATGGAGTACATGTCGAAGGGTTCCTGGGAGGGAATGAAATCAAAGGCAGCACGCTGTTGATGGTCGGCAGGTACACTTGAAGGCATTGTGATATTGTCCCGACTTTGCAAGTCCCAAGGCGGATTGTGGGGGTAAGCGCTAAGCGGTGACATAGGTGACGGGGCACTTGCAAGTGCCACAGACGGGTCTACGGGATAATGCGAAGGATCCATACTCGGGACAAAGTAAGGTTCGTGGCCTGGATAATATCTGGGAACTACGTCTGGGCCCACGTACACTGACTGGAGATGGTCTTCTGGCATATGGTAGAACAGGGAATCGTCGATGGGTGACTCTAGCTGAGGCGATTGGGCTTGAGAAAATGGTGAGAGATGAGACTGGGGCCTGTGCAATCCCTCGAAATGAACGCCGTCGCCGAACGACGGAACGAACTCCACTTTCGGCTGGATGTGGGTCCGCTGTGCGGGCGTCTGATAGGAAGCTGACTGGCTGCTTTCCTTCGTTGGGATAGGCCCAAAGTTGCTCAGGGACTGTAAGTCCTTTAGTGAGTCTCGCCTAATACGGAGTAGGAATGGAAGAACACCACTTACGTATTTAGATATGATCTTATCCAGTGCTTGGGGAAGCAACTTCCAATCAAAGACCTTGAGATCTTTTTCGATCTTACGCGGCTTAGGATCTGGGAAATCCATAATGCGCTGGAATAGACCTTCAAAGCCTGGGCGCGACTTCGAGACAGTGGTAGGCCGTAGGCCTTCGAGGTTACGTCTAATGCGGTTCTTCTCCTCAACAACGAACTCTGCAGCGACGAGCCTCTGAAGCAGATGGATGATGTCAACGGACGTAACGCAGCATGAGTCAGTCTCGTCACGGTAAATACATGAGATGACGATGTCTTTCGCATCATAGTCGCCGGGTGAGATGCGCTCTGCCGAAACGAGGAGTTTATTGCCATCTCGGATGCGTGAGAAGCGAACAAGGCGCCTGCCAGCTTGCATTTCCACATCATCCCAGTTATAGCAGAAGCTGTCGAGGACGACCATGATGTCGAGGCTTGCAGTGGCACCGTCTTCGGAGATATCAATTGCTTGCCTTGTGCGCCGAAGACCCTGCATTTGTGGCTGAGGGCGCGTCAATGATTTTTGCGCCTGTGACTGGCTGGGTTCTGAGTCCGAAGACGACGCTGGGGTTGAAGGACGGCTGTATGGCTTAGACCGTCTCCTTGATCTATCTGACGACTCTGGAAGTGGAGCAGCAACGGTAGGTGCAGTCCGTGTGAGGGCCGAACTGTTTGAGGAGAAACTAGGTGTGTGCTTTCGCATCATAGTGGTCGAATTTTTTTCACGCTCTGTTGGAGGCTCGGTATTCAGAATACTATCCTTGGATGCTGTGGCATTCATACCTGATTCCCAGTATGTGAATTCACCGAATGTAACAGAGTCTAGCAATGTCTTATCATCGGCCAAGGCCTGAATTGTCAAGGGCAGGTTTGGCGAAGTAGTATTATGGCGAGAAAACGGAGGAACGTTTGCCTCGAGTTGCCAATGCCCGTAACCAGCTGGCCCGAGCTCACGGACCTTTGTGCCCACAGCCCGTCTACCGACAACGAGACGAATGTAGGATCCGGCGGCGAGGTCGGCAGTGCAATTAAAATTTACGACGACAGGAACGTTCTGTTCTCCTTCGGCGGGGGTATAACCCAAGACGTGCAAAATTCCGATGGAAGACGAAGGAATGCGCGGGTATGCGCCGGGAGGCGCTATAAAGCTTTGATGTCCGGTTACCGGACTGCTGAGGACATGCACCTCGCCACTGGAAAGTTCTTGAGTTGATTGAATGCCGTATGCCGGCATAGATTGTGTGGCCATTCCTACTCGGATCAGCGACTTAAAACTGTGGGTGTTGATGAGATAACCTCACCTAATAATGCCGATAGACAAGTTCTAATGGTAAAAAGTGAAGTATTCTAAGTTTTAAAACGTTTCGGGAGTGGTGAGCGAAGGAAGAGTACGATTTGGTGCGGCTGACGGAGTAGCCAGGAAGAAAGGACGTGAATATAGGCGAGTGGCTGACTTCAGTCAAAGTTGCGATGGGGAACGAAAGCACAAAAAAAAAAGATATTTGAGGACTGTCAGACGTGATCGATGCGGGGACAGAAAGAGTTGGATATGAATTATTGTCAAAAGAGGTGAGATATATAGGAGGCGAGTGTTTATGCTCTATACTAAATTTACATAAACTCCAAGCTAGGAATAAAAGAAGAATGGATTTCTTTCATTCGTCCTATGGTACACACTGGCACCATCTTCAAAGTTGATAGAGCAATGAATGGTTTACCCCATTCCTGCCTTTTTAAGTTCCAACAAGAGCATACCGCTTTCAGGTTTATTTCCAAATAGAATTTGTGCCTTCGGCCCCTTTGGGTCTGGCCCAACGCCGATCCCAAGATAACTGACAAACCACTTGGCACTTGTCAACGGTCAAATTTTATTCACTGAGTTCGCATTGTCAACCTCGATCCCCCCCCATTACCAAATGACTGTGGCAAACCTTTAATGGCATAAACTGTCCTCGCGGAGTTGTTGATTTCGCACTATCTTTCCGATGAAAATCATTGAAAGCTTTCAAGAACAATAGACTCTGAAAAATCAAATAGAAAGTGGGGTTCACCAGAACAATAGCTTAACGACGGGCCAATGACTGACAGGGGGAAAGCACGAAAACCATGAAGATGATCGACAATCAACTTGGTGCCTAGAAATTTGTTTTACATGGGATTCTGGTTGGTTAGATAGTGTATACAAGTGGCGTTCCATTCGTGTGGAATAAATCCCTGGTAAGAATCTCGTTTTCTGGCTTGACTCGAGTATCTATCTCGATTAGTATGCAGGCAGCGTACTACGGGTCCTGCGGAACGGTGATCAGGCCACATGTCACCCCACTTACAGCTTAGTTCATATGAAAGGCACAAAGCAAGGGCACATACTATATACATAGCTGCAATGACGACTCAGCCATTTTACATACTCCATCTGTGATAGCGCCGAGCCTACTCAAAATAATTCAGTGTCAGTATCAAATGTCATCAGATTGGCATCAACCTGGCTGTCAGCGCTGCGCAATGAAAAAAAACGCAGGCGATAATTCGTCTTGGAGATACCGCGAACAAGGCAGTATACATACGCTATTCCAATAACATCATTCAATCAGAAGAGCGTGTTGTGGCCAAATTAGATTCAGGGTCAAACCTAGGCCCGTTAACTGCAGACTTTACGTACGTCAATAATCAGTTCACATAATGCAATGGATAGATCAGTCACCAATACCTAATCTCCCAAGCTCCGAGCACCTGGTATTGAATCAGCTGTGCATGCACGTGACATGACGCGATTCCCAATGTCCATCAATATGATCCGCAGTTAGACTCCTGGTAGAACTAGCGTCTGGATTGGGGTCGTGATCATCTGCTTTGTTCGTATTGAGATCAATAGCTTGCTGAGCACCTCTAGGAATCCATAACCGCCCAGCTGGAGGAACGTGCCCCTCGGCCGAGAGTATCCTTTCGCAACTAGTACACCGATCAACAAAAAGTCCCTGATAAGATACCAAAAGATGCTTGATAGACAATCAGCACATGGAAAAAATAAGGGTTCAATGTCTTACAATGAGCGTCTGAAGAGGGACCTGTGGGTGAGACTGTACCATTTTTGCGATATGCTGAGACAGTACTTGGAATGCGAGATAATCGGATTGCATATGAGGCAGCTTCTATTCAAAAGTGGCAAGTACATTGTAGCCACAATCAGAAGACCAAATTTCAAAACAGTTGACTGATCCGTACCATCTCTCTAGGACCAAAGACGGTTACACTTTCGACAAGAAGTGGGTCCTCCAAGCAGTTGAACGCAAGGGAGACGTAAGCCGTGAGTACGTCTTCGATCGTAAATCGCAAGATCGCGGGGCTAGTCAACTTTGGTCGCAGAGCATTAGGATTCATTGATAGGTCAGGTTGTGGCGAGCGTGTTCTGGACCATAGGCATAGCCTACATTTCGGACGAAAGGTTTCACTAGTCCCTGGGCTAGGAAGTAACTTTATGTCACCTCGATTGAATTCTCGAATATATTCTACTAGTCCCTCGGCACGCAAGCACGGAATCTCGTCTTCAGTAGGTGGGAATAATGATGAAGTACGCGGTGGCGGCGGTATGTAAGGCTGAGGGGAGCCGACTGGCGAAAGTGGTCGCCTAGTGATATCATCATTATATAACGTACGGCCGTCACATGGAAATAATGGTGCTTACTTTCGTTTGCGACTATTTCTCTGGAACAAGCCAAGGTCGCTTTTATCTGCGTGTTCGCTCTCGCGGGAAACCCTTAGCGCCTCTTGTATTTTCTCAGTACGCAGGGCATCGGCTATGATTTTTAGGGAGCGGAAGTCTGGTGTCGGGGTCGTGTGGAATGGAGCTGCAAAGTCGTGATCGGCTGGGTCAAATGAAGATGCGAATTCGGATTCATGAGATAGTGAAGATCCAGATGGATGCCTCAATAATAACGAAGGTATATGTCGGACGGACTGAAGACGAGTGTGGAAGTCTGTAAGGGTTTGGATACGATCTTGGGTGCTAGGTCCAAGGTTTGAGGGAGTTTGAGTGACTTTTGGAGCAGTGGGCGTTGCATCCGCCCCCATCTCCAACTCAGGGTCTACTGACATAGCTGAATATAGAGCAGAGCTTGTACTTGAAACAAGAACTTCAAGTGGTTGTGGCTGTGTCAGCATGTCGTACATGGCACATGCTGTATACACCAGTATCGTAGCGGTACTCCTCTTTCGCACGGTCCTCGTACGACAATTCCATACCATAACACACTCTTCCCTCATACCCAGAGGGACGAATCAGTCACACCTCAACCATTGTCATTGCAGGGGTGGTGGGCCATGTAATGTTCAGAAGGCCGAGGTTAATGGAAAGCTAATTTGTTGACAGTGCTTACTATCCGGGCATTGATATTGGTGTAATTGACGACCTAGAAGCCAAATCTTGCGTGGGCACCACCACTCGCACCTCAGACTCGTAACAATGGTAACATCGACAATGATCTTGTAGGTCCTGAATACATATCACTTGATGCATTTACCCTACTGGAGCACGAGAAAGAGCCACGGAACGAGTGATGGTTGACCGATTTGAACGAAGTGTTGGAAGGCCAAGTTTATGATTGGAGCATGTTGACCAAGGTCTTGCACTGAAATCTGCTGTTCATGGCAGTTGATCATAGTGGGATGTGGATATGCTTAATCCTAGTGATACATCGTCGTACAAGCCTCGTAACACTCGCCAGGCGGTAGAAGTGGCGATTCTGCCACTCTGCCGGCATAACCGGAACAATTGCTCATAAATAATTCTGCCCCGTCACTTCTATGAATTCAATCACTCATGTTCCAGAACCATTCATTTTGGCATGAACCTCGTGTTCATATATGAACATTGCACCACTCGTATAAAGGTATAACCCTGGATACATCCGTTGTGACTCTGTGAGCCTTCCCATTGTACGGTCTAGCTCGATCTCTACGGGAAAAACAATTAGCTTCATTCATTCATGGTGGCTGATGATAGGGAACCCCAACTCCAGTCTCGATCAATGCTAAGAGCTCGTTAGAGAACGGTTCTCGTCTCGAGCACGGCCACTATATAGGTGCCTATATTGTTTCCTGGGCCTGACCCGCCATCTTCCGCAGCGCGGGTGTTGAATCATGGTGATGTGACTATTTTTCATATCATGACCACGTGGCAGCTGAATTCAAAAAGCCGTGGCATCGAAGAAGTGTGAACTTCTGAACAGGGACGATCCTTCCCCCGTCATTGTGAATCATATGAAACCCCTCATCATTAACCACTCTGCCAGGCTTATCAATCGCGCCAACTTTGTTGTTCTTTGGAGTTGGCATGTGTCTTATGAGTTGAACAGGTTACCATAGCATCCTAGTTTTGCTCCTTCATCGCCTCATCGTCCACAACTCGAGGATTATTTATTGGACAGGCAAGAAAATGCCATCTCCTATCGCTTTGAATCCGTCTACCCCTTCTCCGTCTATCTTCAAGGAGACAAAATCACGTAGTAGGTTGCCATTAATGTCGAGGGCGATGTCCTACCTTTCTGCAGTTCAACAAGCAGACACCCGTGCTCAGAGTCAGAGCAACTCCTCTGCATCATCAACTTCTACACGATCTTTCCCTTCCTCTGTCTCATCTTCTGAAGACGCCATCCTTAACAAGGATGATACGACCAACTGTCTCGTGAGCCCGCTTACACCACCCACCTCCAAAGTTTTCACTACCGTTCACACGGAGTTTGGTCACTGCACGAATGAGGCCTATCGCTGTGTCTCTAAGCATGACTACACCAGACCTTTCCGGGAGTACCCAATCGAGGAACCTCCGTACTATGTTCTCCTCACCACCTACATAAGCTACCTCATGGTCATCTGTTTTGGTCATGCCCGTGACTTCTTCGGAAAGTGTTTTTCTAAATCTCAGTTCACCCACCTTATGCCCCACAATGTAAGTGCCATCTCGATTATCACATCTATGTAATTCAGTTGATGCCATGTACAGGGATATGCACCGTTGAATTCGGATTTTGATTCGTTCTACACTCGCCGGCTTCAACGTCGTGTGGGTGACTGCTGTTCCCAGCCTGTTTCAGGTGTCCCCGGCCGCACCATTCTGATCCTCGACCGTTATTCCACTGATTATAACCTTACTCAAATCTACACCGGCACCAAGACACGCGCCTTGAATATCTCATCGTATAACTACCTCGGCTTCTCCCAGGCCCGAGGAGGCTGCTCAGACGCAGTCGGAGAAAGTATCCATCGTTATGGCATCTCCACCTGCGGCACGCGTCTTGAGAGCGGGAGTAGCGAGCTTCATGTGTCTGCTGAAGCCCTCATTGCACGTTTTCTGGGGACAGAAGACGCATTAATCAGTTCTGTGGGTTTTGCCACTAACTCCACTTTCATCCCTGCGTTGGTGGGAAAGAAGTCCTTGATTATTTCCGACGAACTTAACCACACTAGTATTCGCGTCGGTGCGCGCCAGAGTTGTGCGCACATCCGGATGTTTAAGCATAATGATATGTCGAGTCTCGAGTCCGTTCTGCGTGAAGTGATAAGTCAGGGCCAGCCCAAGACGCATCGTCCTTGGAGGAAGATCCTGGTTATCGTGGAGGGGTTGTACTCTATGGAGGGTACGCTCGTGAACCTGCTTAGGATTGTCGAACTGAAGCAGAAGTACAAGGTTCGTACTGCAGTTGCCATTTGGGATTATAATGTTGATGTTTTATTCAAGTTCTACCTCTTCGTTGATGAAGCACATTCAATCGGTGCGGTCGGTCCCCATGGACGTGGTGTGACGGACTATTTTAACATCCATTCTGGCTCAATCGATGTCTTGATGGGAACGTTTACCAAATCTTTTGGTGCTGCCGGCGGATATATCGCAGGGTCGAAAACCCTTATTGACGCTCTCCGACTGCACGGTCACTCATGTCCGTACGCAGAAGCAATGGCGCCCCCGGTGCTCGCACAAATTATTACATCGGTTACGAGCATCATGGGCGTTATTCCAACACCACAGCCGTCCAAGTTTCAAAACGACCGCAACCTTGCTAGCTCAGTTACGGCTCTAAAGGACAGTGCGGATGAGTTCCGACGAATGGTGCCTGCAAGCATGCTGCCGGCATGGATCAACCTTCATCCATCCCTCGCAGACGGATCCGAAGCTCGGATGCGTATCCAGCGTCTTGCCTTCAATTGCCGTTATCTGCACGCTGGCCTAAAAAAACTCGGTTTCATCATTTCTGGTCATCCCTTCAGCCCAATTGTTCCCCTGCTCATCTATAATCCGGGAAAATGTATGATGTTCGCACGTCTGATGCGTGCGCGGAGCATACCGATCGTTGTCGTTGTCGTAGGGTACCCCGCCACTGCGTTGGAAAAGGGTCGTGCACGGTTCTGCGCTAGTGCATCACACACAAAGGAGGACATCGATATCGTGCTACAGGCGTGCGATGAGGTGGGTGACATTCTAGACTTGAAACATGGTTCGGGTGAGCGGTGGGGGATTAATGAGGTTTGCGAGCGCGCAGTGGAGCTTGTTCACTCTGCAGTGTAAACGCAGTGTGTCTGCTTGGGAGTGAGGGTTTACAACTAAAAGGTGGGGCGAGGTGTGTGCTGCGCGTGGACAGAGATATATCAGGGGATGGGGGAGGGGACAGCTATAAACAATGGACTAATCAGGGCTAAATATCTATTGTACTCAGACGATGAATGTTGGTGTTGGATATTGAATGTTCAACCCTTCATCAATACTTAGGGGAAATTGTCCAGTGTGACTGATGATGGTGTGACTCTGTGACCTAAATGAGTTTTACACATCAAAGCAGAACCATCCTTTGACCATTCTACACAAATCTGCCAGGGTTGCTTCTCATTGTATGCTTCGCTTTACTGGAAAGAATGTTGCGGTGAACAGGTTTGTGCATTCCAAACCGTTCGTCAGCATACTGACATGACGTTCACTTCCAGCATCCAACCACGGCAACTACACTTGGTACTTTCGGGCCAACGTCTTGCTTCTGGTAGATTACAGCTGTATCACAATACAAGAGTTGGACGGAAAGTTTCAGCACGGTTTGCATCTACTTCCACTTCTTCCTCCAATGACAAGTCTAGTCATACCTCAAATCTACCACCTTCTGCCGTATCACCTCGCAAGCACCGTGTGGAGCTCAAGCCTGGCCCATTGAAAAGACCTTCACCATCAAGCGCGACACCAAGGCCTCAACCGACATCCTTAAAGCAAGCACACCCCTCATTTCCAGCATTTCGTCCTTCTCCAGTATCAAGTACACCTGATTCTGTTCCGTCTGCGATCGAACTAGCGAAACAAGACATAGCAGATGCAACTGCCCAGGGAGTCCTTCGACCACCTCCACATGATGCCGGTACCATCAAGCGCTTTACTCATCAGGCTTTCGAACTCCTTGTCTGTGTTTAACCTCATCGGCGCTTGCTCCCCTAATTTTTTTTTTACTCTTCCAGAAATTCTATTTCAGAGGGTTAAAAGCCATAAACACCCACCGTAAACAGGCAGCAGCAATTCGTTCACGCATAGCTACAGGCGGTGCCGCGTTATCCAGAGCGGAGTCGCGTTTCATCAGAACATTCCAGCAAGATGCACTGAAGTACACATCCGTCCATCTATCTTGATTTTTCTCAAACTCCCACCTAGGCTCATTCCGTTCGTTATTGTTGTTGTAGTTATGGAGGAACTCATTCCTTTTATTGCCCTTTACGTCCCTCGAATGTTGCCATCCACGTGCGTTCTTCCAGGTCAACGAGATCGTATCAGTGGGAAGGCACGCAACAATCAACAGTTGGCCCTCTCAGGGAATTGGCAAGTATTCGATCTTTTGCGGAAAGAAAGCGAAAACTCTGGCTTCATTCCAACTCTTAATCTGAAAAATCCAGGGGCACTGTGCGGGTGCGTACTCTCTCAAAATCTATTTTCAAACCTGTATAAGAACTGTTGTAGACTCATCGGTATTCCCGCTTGGGGGCCACTTCAACTACTTCGGTGGCGTCTCAACCACCACCTTCAGAACATTGCGTCTGACGACAAGATGCTCAAACAAGAGGCATATGGACGTGATCTCACCCTTCCAGAGTTGAGGGAAGCCTTGCAAGAGCGTGGAATGTAGGTATTCCATCTTATAAATAGCTTTTCCCTGATATCTGTGTTCTTTGATAGGCCTATGTTCAGCGCAACGAATTCCGCAGATGAGCTAAGGGCCCAGCTCAAGTGGTGGATAGACATGACAGAGATCATGCCCGAGGGTGCGGATGCTGTCAGCAGGCGCTTGTTCGTACTCGGTGTTATTGGATCGCACAAGTAAATGCTGTCGGGGTGCCCTGTTATTCTTTTGTAGCACGGTGTGGGCAGACAGACATTCTTAGACCTAGAGGTCAATCATAATATCTCAACTCCACTCGTTGTATTCGCTGGGTTGTCCCTATCAATAGAAATCTACCAGTCTAATACCTAGTGATATGTGCACATGAAATGTGTGAAGCTAAGTGTGCTAGGATGCAATGTCATACCAATGACAGCCGAATCCAGCGTTATCAACCCTCAAGTCAATGGCCAGTATCCTAAGCTGTTCACGGCAGCTAATCATGTCCAGAGGGTGTTTGAAATTGCGGTAAAGAAGGCGTTTGGCCGAACATGATGACCCACTGAACAACACCTTCACCGAATCAGGAAGCCATTCGTCAATGGTGGCCTCCCGGCTGGGGCCAAGAGCAACAAAGGCCAACTCCCCGAAAGATGGCAGAGACAATGAATCAAAGATGCGAGCTAGGGGTGTCACATTCCCAAACTGAACCGCGTCCTCTGACAGGTATATACTCAGTTTCTCCAAGGCCTGATGCTTGATGAGGGACATCGCATTAGGGGAAGGATTAACTATCTCCAAGTTTTCGCGGTGTAAAGAAAGCTTGATTTTCAGCTCAAGCAACGCTGGGAAGTCAAGGAGAATTTTCATGAAGTCGAGTTCTGCCCCTGGTCTGTCGAGTGTAAGGTGGGTGATCTGAGGAAATGTGGCACTTGGAATAAGGTTGATGAGTGCCTCCTTTCCACAAAGGGCGACGTGTGTGACATTCGACGTGCAAAGGGCAAGAGGATGTCCAGAGTTCACAAGGAACGACGTTGGCATGACGGATATTAAGATGTGTTTTACAGCGTAGGAACCGCTGGCAATGAATGCATCAATATAGCCGCGGCTGGCCTGTATATGAAGATCGCGAATTTGGGCCGAGTGTGATGTAAGTAGGCGGAAAAGCCCTGACTGTGTTGGATCATACTGGCGAAACCAATCCCACTTCTGCAGGCACACCACACTGACAGCCAACGGACGATTACGTGCCGCTGCAAGCCAACGGTCCACCATCGCCGTGTAGAAGTTTGCAGTCCAGACGCCCCAGTCATGAACATCAATAGAAGACCAGAGTTCTGGTGTTGCCAATGCAATGTCCCTCCAGCGGCGACAAATTTGGCAAAGTAACAGCGGGGCGGACAGTATGTGGGGAATGACATATCGATCGTCAGGAAGGCAGGATTTGAATATCTGCTGGAGAATTTCTGTAGGAAGGAACCTCGCAGGACTGATGCGAGCTTTGTTTTCCAGGATGCGAATTTCTACAGCGCGCCGCTTCACTTGCTGAACAGCCATGCGAACGTGTATTGCCTCGATCTCAGCCTGTAGGCTGTCAACCACGGAGTCTATGTTCGATAACTCTTCTGCATCTCTCTGCAAGGCAATCCGAGCTTCGTTGATCTCCATCTCTAATGAGAGAGAGGTTGCAAGCTTCATCGTACAAAGGACAGCATCCAATTGTTTGGTAGTGACAACAGCGACAGAAGCCATCGCTCTGCAGTGAACCAAAGATGTTTCAGTCAAAAGTGACATGCCTGTAATAACCTGGTTGAGATTGAGATCTCGTATGTCAGGTTATTATGGATTGCTCACTCTTTCAAGTTTGCGGGATGATGGTTCAAGTTTTCAACGGTACCTCCAAGATGAACACGAGGCCCAACATCGAGGTGAAGCCGGCCCAGTTGGTAATACCCGCGCTTGGGCTTGGCCGAACGTGTTCTATTACAAGCTAACCGAGATCGAGAAGGACCCGGATTCGTAGGCTTATTACTCGGGTGCCCACCGAAGGGATGCAGGCGACCATGGTTATGGTACGGCGTCAATATTCAATCTCGGCTCTACGCCAAGCAAGGTGTGGATAGCTACTACTTAAGTAGTAGCCTGGGCCACGGAATTCAGGTAGATTGCAAAACCTCATGCCAAGGGGAATTCGTAAAGTTGATCACCGGGATTTGGTTAGCCTCCTAGAAGTTGTCCGGCAAGTGCCGAGAAGTTGCCTGCGGCTCCTCACCATATTATGTAAGCCCCTGTCGTACGGAGCTTGCCGACCAAACACCCCTGATGTCCGACTCAAAAATCAGCCATTTCCTACTATTTATATATGATGCTGGGGAGAGTCTGGGGCAAGTCTGGGGAGTCCCAACAACAGACCGGCCATTTCCTACTTTTTATATATGATGAAACATCGTCTCCGTTTGGTCACAATTACAGCACACAAAGATTACTTCACGATCTGCATCGTTCCAACTTGGTGGTATCATGAGGTTACGGCGCTCAACACTACTGAGACGCCTACTAGTACAGTCCAAGCGTGCATTGTGATTTATATCGGCAAGCAAGCCGATGGTTCTTCCACTGGCAAATTGCGCAGTGACATAGACAACCTCTGTCAATCGCCGAACAATTTAATGAACTCGTCGCCGATACTGAGAGTTGAGCTTTCAGTATTCCACCTTTTGGTGTAACGGTTATGCGCGGGCAGCGGTCTGACCAAGTGACAAGACATTATTTTTTATGAGTCGACGGTCATTTATTTTCCCAGACCTGTAGCCTAGGAAAGGGTACATGCATTTAATTTCAACGTTGCAACTCGAGCACTAGTAAAATAATAAAGATACAAAATTCTACTATTCAATTAGATATCAAACCGTCGTTCTTCAATACCCCGTACACTAGCACTGACGATTCTTCGCTCGTCAAATGCAACGGTACCACATGTACTTCCACTATTTGTTCCTGCAAAGCTGCCTTTGGCAGGCCCGGCTATTTCAATCCCATCTCCGCCTTCAAGGTCCCACACCCAAATTGCTCCGTTTGCACTCAAGCTGACACAACGCCCATCCGCAAGAGAAAGCGTAGAAACAGAGCCCACAGGCCCGTGCAGAGTCCGGACAAACATCAATTTCGGTGTATGGACCGATGAACTTGAGATCGGGGGTACATGAAGGCGGTATAATTGAAGGTGGCTCGATGTGTGGCTCGGAGGTGAGATGTATGGGAGTGGCTGTAGATGTCCCTGTTGAGGCACTGTTCCTTCTGAGGACCCATGGGATACCGGAGAGATATCTGTCACATCTCCAGGGGCTAAAACGACCCATTTCCCATCCGTTTGTATATCCGCTACTTGTTTCACTTTACGGCCCCATTGGTCACGCATAAGCTGAAGTTTGTGCTCGTCTATCCACCCTTGCGGGATGTCAAAAGCACGGGTAGACCTGGTGACGCTTACTTCAAAGGCCCCCTGTGGTGATGACTCGCTGGAGGACGTAGCGAATGTCCGTTTACGTGGTAAAATGCCCAAAGGAGATATAATAAGCTCTGTAGCACCCACACTCCAATGGGCAGGGTAAACGGGAATAGCGTAGGCCATGACAAGTTTGTATGACGCTGTTGAGGGTATGGTGGACAGTACGAGTGATGTGGGGGGATGACTAGTGAAAGACGTGAGTGTTTGAGTGTGTGTGATAGAATCATTGCTCAGGTCGTATATCATGAGTGTAAATGAGTGCGACAACGTGACGAGCAACGGGTGATTATAGGCTGCATGCGTCACCGGAGAAGCGCGGTGCAGGGACGAAGGAACGTAGGTTTGCTTTGGAGTGGTGGCTGAGGACAAGGAAGAGTGATCATGTTCGAATATATTGAATTCTCCGGTCGTCAGGAAAGCAGCCAGGCGTATGATATGCGAGGAAGATAAGGAAGGTGGAGATTGATCGAGCGCTATAGCAGATATTTCCGCCACAGATGTAGCTAGAGTAGACCTGCAAAGCAGAGTCCGCGATATTCCACTGTTGTCCCGTACTAGCAAGGAGGATCCACAGGGATTCGACGAGGATATGGTGAACCCGCCTGCCAATATAACGTGCTGGCGAGGAAAGGCTGGCGGCGGCGCTAGAGTTGTTCCCTCAGCGTTAGTGAAGTGCTCGACAGAACAACGTCCTTGGAAATGCATATGAGAGAGTGAAAGAATATCGATAGTAACTGTAAGATATACCATTCCTCCAGTTCGAGCTGATGCGGTGCATCCACTTCCAGTCCAGAGTGTCATCAGCTGACGACATGGATGTAGAAGCTCTCAAGGGAAGTGGTTTCACTAATCTTCCATCAGTCAGACCATAAAACCCCTTGCCTCCCCTCAGCCGTGTTTTACCAAACTCTCTGATAAACAGGGTTTTCCAGAGCTACAAGCATAACCAGAGCAGTGGGCGATCCGAGTGTGTTCAACATTCATTCTCTTGTTGCCCAATTAATCAAATATATACCTGGTTGTCACTCGCGAGCCTCGAACAGTTTCTGTTCGTCCTGTGCATGGCACATAGATCTCTGCAGTTCAGGAACGAGAAGATAAACAAAATGAGTTCATCATAGAGCGCATTGTCAAATGTTGTGATAAGCCGATGCTCCTGCGACGAGATTCGAGTATGATGTAGCCTCTTCGCAGGCGGCAGAGGCACTGGGGACAATCGGTGCTTGGACATGGCAGTAGAACGGAGGAGAAATGCCAGTGTGTAAGAGGCATATGCATTGGCCCGCCGGCAATTCATAGGCCGAGCAGATCCGAGGAACTTCCAAATCTGGGGCAATGTTGTGCCAACATGTGGCGGCCGTGACCGCACTTGGCGTCCCTAAATTCGAGGGTTTCCAATGGCTCCTTCACGAGGACCACAAGCACTTGCTCGAACGCTCCATAAAACACTCTCGAATCACCGAGGACCTGTCCATGTTGTTCGGTATGCCAAAGGCACTGCAAAGTATGTTCTAAGTGGAGGACAGGATCGTACGATACGTCTCTGGAATCCAGAGCTTGGTACCGAGATCAAAAAGTTTGAGGCCCACGGATACGAGGTCCTTTCCATATCTGTGTCAGTCACATCCGCAGTTTCTTGGACTCCATTGAAGTTGACGAATAAGACCGTATATTGCGTAGGAGTCATGACAATGCAAAGTTTGCGTCTTCTGGAGGGGACCGCTCTGTCTTCGTATGGGATGTGACGGCGGGTGTGACGACGCGTAGATTGGCAGGCCATATGGGCAAGGTGAATGTTGTGGAGCTTAATGCAGATGCGACTGTGCTGGCGAGTGGTGAGATGATACCTTTCACTCAATGTGCAAATAACAGTGTTCACCATGCTTTATCATAGGCTCGTATGATTCCACAGTAAGATTATGGGACTTGCGGTAAGTATGGAATCGTTTGGACCCAGGGGTAATACCAAATTGTTCTCGGCAGGGCACCAGCGCGTGCGCCAATCCAAGTGCTCGAAGAAGCTCGTGACGCCGTGCAGACCTTAAACGTGGATGCAACCACGATAATTGCAGGCTCTGTAGATGGACATGTCCGAACATATGATCTTCGTAAAGGCGAACTACGTTCAGACTTCATAGGACGTAAGTGCTGTGGATATTTGTTAGACACATGTTGACCATGCCTTACAGACCCGGTCACCTCGGCTATCCCCTCATCCGATGGTACCACGCTTCTCATATCTACGCTTGATTCGCACGTCAGGCTATTCGATACGACCAGCGGTAAGCTTCTTAATGCCTTCACCGGCCACAATCACACGTCGTATCGCTGTCGAGCATGCTTTGGACATGCAGAAGCGACGGTTGTTTGTGGAGATGAAGACGGTGCCGTTTGGGCTTGGGACTTGGTTGATGTGAGCATTCAAGTTCACAAATGTTATTCCGGCACTTACGTTTGTTTCTAGGCTACCGTTTTGCAACCCAATCCTCCGCCAAAAGTTCATGACAAGGTGATCACTTGGACGGAGCATCACCCAATAGACCCTGGGGAGATGATTACAGGCAGCGCAGATGGGACTGTGAAAGTCTGGCGGCACCCAAGCTAGACTTCCCTTACTACAATAACTTATCTTTGGATATGATTGTCCTTTCGTGTGTTAGTGCGATGCAGATTGTGAAACGAAATATTCCATTATTAAATAGCGCTCATGCATAGATGGTTTGGAAGAGCGGCTCGCACGGCGTCATGCGAGAGCTCAAGCACGCAAGACACGATGAGTACAAGAATGAATTTTGAAAACCCTGAAAGCCAAGAGTAACATTCCCGCTACAGCAGTAATTAATGTTGATATAAAAGTAGCTGAAACGAAAACCACCTCGACCAGTTGAATATCATACTTACCTACAACTTCATCAGCGGGAAGTATCGCGCTACAGAGTGCTACAGGGTGCTACAGAGTACTACAAAGCACTTCGTAACAAATTACGTTTCCCTGATGTTGGAAGCCAGTCCAGTACGCACTTAAGCTACTGCATGATACGTGATGTGTATAGCGATCAATCCTTAGCGCGGCAGCAAGTCCGTTGGGCTACGTGCACATAATGTTTTTGCGACCTTCGAAGCCAACTGTGTCTTCATGCCACATCGACCCTCGAGGTCCTTCTGTAGTTTTTCCTGCGACTTCTTATACTCCGGGTCAGGATACCCGATCCATCGCATGAACGCGCTGCTTATCTTCTCATGCTTCCATCCCCTTGACACTGGTGTAACGGCTGCATACTCCTGGATGAGCTCACGCACGGCTTCTCTCGATGCCTTGTACTTCGTGTCTTCATTCTTCAGGGTCGTTACGCATGCATGCCCCTCCACGACTATTTGGGATGCCTCTAACGATGCACGGTTCCGCGTCCACCATTCCTCCATGACTGTCTCGTCCTCGAGGCACGTCACCACCATGACTATGGGGACTTGCCGCTGATATAACACTTCACGGAATAACTGGTAGTTGCTCTGCAATGTGCCATTGTCACGGCCTTTTTGAACGCAATATACCAATAAATTGGTACCGCCGCATGTATCAAGCTCGTGGAGAAGGCGGCTGGCATTTTTAATGGATCGGTGGTACTCATTTGGCTCGAGTTTTGGGTCATCGATGCCCCTCGTGTCGAAGATATTGTGTTGCATCTCGTCATCAAAAAGCTTGGGTAACACATATTTGGTCCATGTGAGGGTGCAGCGCTTGGGATTGTGCTCAGTTCTAGCGATGTCTTGGTCTGCGATGAGGTTTACGAGGGAACTTTTTCCGGCACCCATTGCGCCAAATATAACGATGTTTTTAGCGCTTTTCTGCTTTTCCATCGTGATGGGTATATTGGGTAGCTGGCGAATAGTTGCGTGCTGTGAGAATAATAGTTTGGCCTTGCATGAATATAGACAAATCATGAATGAACCTACATCATCTGTCGAAGCTTCTGTAGTGTCGGGACTGGCCAAAGCCTCCAGCTCACCCTTCAAAAAGTCTATAACCACCGAAGCAGATGGACGGGACACCATGGCTGACCAACACTCGCGAATCATATTCCAGCGTATATTTGTGAGATCAGGCGAATGTGGTGGCTCGGGATGCTCTCCTCTACGGATGTGTTCAACGACTGTCAAATTATTGGAGATTGTATGCCAAGGAGTACGCAGAGTTAATAGCTGAGTATAGCGGTCATGAGCAACAGTGGGTACAGGCTTGCGAGCTTCAGACTCACGTGGAGCATGATGCAACCAAAAGAATACATGTCGTTCTCTTTGGTCGGATTACCGCCACTGAGCAACTCAGGCGAGGTCCACCTTACCGCATCAAGTTGAACATGCGATACGTCGACTACGCCATTAGCTAAATGGCCACTCAGAATTTTTGCCAACCCGATGTCAGTGAGACATGCGCGGTATCTCCCATCCGATATATCCACCAGAATATTGGGCTGAAACTTTCTATGAGCAAAGATTCAGGTAAAGAAGTTCAACGAACACTTGTGACATCCCCGTGGACGATGCCCCGACAATGAACTAATGACAATCATATCAGTCGAAGGAAAACGATGACGGACAGAAAGACGGACGATGTTCAAGTGCAGAAGCTGTACCGCAAAGCTAGCGGGGATTGATATGGATGATTTAGTCTAGATGCATTACAAGTCAATATCAGCTCACCAAATCTAATTTGGACCTAATGCTCAGTTTGGCGCCCTGTTCCTGGATAATGCTAGGGAGCGTGGTCTCAACCCACGGAAAGACAAGGGCTGGCGGGACATCAGGTGGCCCAAACTCTCTTGCCGTTCCAAGAAGACGAATGATGTGATCATGCTCGAGGATCGCCCAGGTCTTAGTTTCGCGATGAAATCTCTGGCAATTGAGATTTTTAAGGATGCACAGATCGCAGAAGAATAACACAATTCTCACTTCTAACTCTTCATTTGAGATGCTAAACTTGATGATTTTGACAGCGACCTGGAGTACAGTAGTCAACAGCTACATCAATATCACGCCAGCAATAGGCGGACCTTGATAGTACGTCCTGATGCCTGTTTGCATTCACATTTATACACATTGGTAAAGTTGCCTCCGAGTCTTGGGGCAAGGTCCTTTATTTCACCAATGATCTGACCTGTCAGATCCACTGGTTGATTCAAAATGGGCGCCTGAATTAACAATAAATGCATTAGAATTTGCCATCGATTGTGATGTGTGAGAGCTGCCGAACCTGCAAGTCGTTAACCTCAAGTTGTTTGATGCATTCAAGGACTTCTGTAGACTCGGGGCGATCCTCCGGCTTTCGCGACCAGCATTGTTGAATCAAGTTCCAGTGACCATTGAGGATATTCTCGGGGCGTGTGGGAGTGGCTTTTTGCGACAGTGCAACAGAGATCGGAACGGAGTTTCTCTTCTCTTTCCATGGTATATCTCCTGAGATGATCTAAGCGGAGAAAATAAGGTCGGGACTACAGAACGACAAAATAGGCCGCACAAAGAAAATGATGCTTCCCAGGGAATAGATATCACTCATGAAAGTTGGTTTGGCCACCTCCCTCTCTATTCCAAGGACTTCAGGTGCACGCCATCGAGCATTGAGTTCAAGTGCCGCAGTCGTTGTTCCCCACTGCAACTCTGGCTCTCCTACAACTATCGCGAGACCGAAATCTGTGAGACGTGGATTTCCTTCACGATCGATCAGCACATTGCCCTGAGACTTGCAAATGAGTGCGACATCTACAAAGAGATGATCGTACACACGGGGTGAAGGTCTCCGTGGACGACTTTCTCCAAGCGAACTGGGTAAGCCTATTAATAACTGAAATAACGCCTAGATAGAAATTGACAGACGATAGTTGACGCCGCCAGCAACGCCCTTGGACTAGCATCAGGCGAATAGATGAGCACCTGTTAAATGTGATCGATGTGAATGAGGGACTCACCAATTCAACTCTAGCAGCAAGGGTTTTAGCGTCCTTCTGGAGGTATTGATCCAATGTCCCGGAAGGCATCCATTCTGAAACAAGAGCTGGCAACGATTCAGGAGAGAGATTTGCAATGTCAAGTAGTGGCACGACATAATCCGATTTACTGAGCTTGAGCCATACTGCGACTTCCCGATCCATCGCCTACAATGACAGACCATATAAAGGGTGGATGAAGTGTCATTTGAATCTACACAAGAAGACTTACGCTCTGAAGTTTCTGCAGAGATCTTCGAGGATTGATTATGAATACCTTCACTGCAACCTGGTATATATCATATACACGAGCCTGCAGTGCTCGGATAGACTGTCACAGACCTCGTTTTTGCCTTCATTAATGGCGCATCGATAAACCTTGCCAAACGAGCCAGTTTTAATTGGAGATATATGCTCGATTTGAGACGCAAGGTCGCTGATGGTGATGTTGTTGTATGTGTGCAGATGTGGCCCCATACATTTAGTAAGATCACCAGAGGACGCATGTTATGGAGTCGTCGACTCACTCTGCAAGCGCATTCTCCCCCATGACTCGGATGTGGGTGCTAAGCGCTATTCGACAACTTGAAGCAGCCATACACAACGAGATGGGTGTAAAGTTAAGTATGCACTTGCCTATACTGTAACGTTTATATGTAAGAATTTATGTAAAGGGCAACATGCCGCAAATTATCATGTAAGAAGGGACACGAGTTTGTAGCACCTGTGAACATGAATTCGAGGGTCTAGCTCGGTTCACAAACATCACCGTGTGGTCGAACTCAAGACCCTAGTGGCGCCGGGTCACAGGTTGCCGGCGGTCGCGAGGAGATTACCAGGTGGTGAGGGTGAAGGAAGGTGCAGGAGGCTACGAGGAATATTGTGCACGCGTCACGTCAGTTTGGGATCCATCCCGTCTTGGAGGTAATTTAAAGAACCGAGCTATCATGGAGGACTAGTGTGCTTACAAATTTGATGCATGATGCATGGTGGAGAACTTCGACTTTGCAACATTGCTTCAACGCGGTTACAATATTAATTATAAATCAATCGTACCGCATAATAAAAATATTCATTTATTTATTAACTGTAATCTCAGAAGTGCTCTGGATAAGTCTGACAGAGTGATTCAAAGCTGCAAACACTTAGTATGATAGTGCAGGATGATTTCAAGACCTGTTGAGTTTGCACCAAACCTTAAACACATGGTTCGGACCATGGTAAATCAATTAATTTTGAGAACCCCGTAGCCTCGAGGATAGTTCCTCGCACGCTGGCAGTGACGACAATCGATGGCACATATCGAGTATTACAGTCAAAGAGATCTTGGCCGCGCCCCGCCAGGTGGATCAGAATTACGCCGCGTTATGCCACATCGGATGCTCCACCGGGACTAAGTTGAAAAGTCACTCTGCTGAGCGAACCCCTAGTGGGCGTTAGGTGGTTTTAAACTCCGCTCGACTCCGCTCATTACCATATACGTTTAGAAAAGAAGACAAATACCGCGTTCGCCACCGTGGAACAGCAGTCACAATGGACCCAGGTTTTGCGCTTGAATAGTGAGTTTGCTTCCGTAATGCGACATCCTCCTTCATCATATTCTGCAGCAATACAGTCCCCGACCTCACGTCTCGAATTAACAAGCTTGAACCACCGATTACAATCGATTCATTTAGCCAAGTTCATCGATGTACCATGAAGACCAGCGAAGGCACAAGGGAGGTTCGTCTGAGTTCGTCTGAGTAGCCTGGGTTAACTTACAGAACGTCCATTTCACATTGTTCAGGTAGCTGTAAAAGTAATCATTATTGATCCTAATAGAGCTATGCCAAAACTAGAGAAAGTCAGCTTCTCAAATGAGCTGTACCGACTAACAATTGGCTGAACATCGACCTTGTAGGCAATTCGCCGGGAACTTATTGTGTGGTTGAAATTGATCCACTTGAACATTGTGCCGCTACTTGGTATCGCACGCATCGAATCACCATGGCCAGCTCTTGTTTATCCATGGATGCCATCTGGGACGTTATATATTTTCCTGGAGAAGCAGGCAGCAACCCTTTCTACTTCCACAAAAATTGGATTGGTATGTCCCTTGTTCGTACCTATCGCATTCAACTAATGCTCATCGATTCTCGTGTTACTAGGTTGAGGGTATCGCCGATGGCCTCTCTTATCGTTCGTTTATCTCTAGCAAGTCGTAGTTTTTGTTACTGATTCCTACGCAGTTCACTCGATGAAGATCGTACACGGAGACCTTCAACCCGTATGCCCGGTTGTCTCTTTGTAGATGTTGCACTTATTTGTAAGCCAGGACAATGTGCTGATAGACGATTCGGGGATTCCATGCCTCACAGGTTTCGGTCTCGCAACAGTAGTAGGAGACCCAGAGTTGCAGTTGAACTCGACCACTGCGGCATGTGATTTCAATGCTCGATGGCGTGCGCCTGAAGTCATTGGAATAGAGTCTGACGAATCTGCACGACCGACTGACGCGAGCGATATCTATTCTTTTGGTAGCATTATGTTCTTTGTGCGATCTATTCCATGTCGCTGCGGCGCTACCGTTGACCTTTTCCGCCCAGATCATATCGGAGAATATCCCATGGAAGGAGAGAAATTCGTATCAAATCGCTATTGCGCTGTCACAAGGAGCCACTCATGCACGTCCCAAGAACATCCCTAATGGTTTCTGGAACTTAATCGAACGCTGCTGGTCTCGGAATCATATGGATCGTCCAGGGATTACACAAATTCTCGAGTATATCAATCAGTGTAAGATCGATGACTCGCAGGTCCAGTCACCCATGATACCGACGCATTTCCCCCAGGAATCCGGTTCAATACATCCATCTCTGTAGGGTGTTCATACTAGATAATGCCTTCATTGATTCAATTCCCTCTTTTTTTTTAGTCCGGAAGGACAACTTGCGCTAGCAAAAGATCTGACAGGTCAGATCTTCGGTACAATAAATGACTACGTCGCTAGTGGTGGGTTCGCAAACGTGTATAGATGTGAATGGAGACAACCGTCGGGCTTTGTCGAAAAGGTCTGGCCAGTGGGTAGCGCTGGCGTCACTTGCTGATCAGTCTGTCGATCATTGTACTACAGGTCGCAGTAAAAACCTTTAGACTTCAGATGAATCACGTCTCAGAGCAGGAATTAAGAGTAAGGGTCTATGATTTTCTGTTCTGAATACCATTTTACGTGAATTCACTAGAGGTTTCGACAAGAAACTTCAATATGGGCGCACCTCATCCATGACAATATCGCCACACTTTATGGAACGACAGATGGGTTTGGGCCAACCACAGCTCTTGTCTCCCGGTGGTTTCCGGACGGCACACTGTACCGTCTGATCGGAGAACAGGGTGCTACATTAACCATAAAGTCCAAATTGAAGCTGGTAACTCAGAATCGTTTAGCTGCAATGGACCTAAATTGAAAGATCCTCATTCTCTAGCTCCACGGCATAGCATCTGGGCTCTACTATAGTATGTATCCCCACGGGGTCGTCCTGTTTTAACTGATAGATTTGCCATTAGTTCACTCTTTTCCCGCTGTTCACGGTGACATCACGAGCGTAAGCTCATCCTCTCTACATTCGATCGCTCTTCACTAAACAACGTAGTCTAACGTTTTGGTAGATTTCCAAGATGGAGAATACAAGGCTTGCCTAACGGACTTCGGTTTGTCAAATGTCCTCTGCGCACGTTCAAAAAACTGTCCAATTGAAGGATCAACTGTTCGTCCTGGTGCAATCAGGTGGACTGCGCCTGAGTTGCTCAGGTCACATGATCGCCTTTCTGATATCAAACCGACCACGCAGAACGACATGTATTCCTTTGGTTGTGTCATGTTCCATGTAAGCAATTTAAGTCCACAAAATCTATATTTAATGCATCACTCATCCCAGGTGTTGGCCCTGAGTGTTCCTTGGCATGACGTTGACGAGTACGATGTCGTTAAAAAAATTCAAAATGGAGAGTGTATCCCGCGTCCTGAGGTATCCACGGCGACGTCTGACGTTACAGACACCCGCTGGAATCATATTAAGCAGTGTTGGTCCATCAATCCTTCTGCTCGTCCATGTGCTCTCGCGGCTAGGAACTTCATAGCGGGGGAACAAGAGGCTCTGAAACAAGATGTAAGCTCATGGCTTGTCTCGTCATGTGGGCGTAGAGTTTCTGACTCTGACAGGATGTCCTTGTTGGCGAGGCACAAGAAAGCCATCAAAATACATGTTTAGCCATAGACCAGGTATGAACTTGCCAGCTTGTGATTGAAGTAATTCGGCTGAAATGTTTTATCAACCAGACTAGGATTTCGACCCCATCGTCGTTTCCGTCTTCCTCTCAAACTCTTGTTCCGTCACGCAAACCCGTTCCCTATAGTCCTTCAACAGACCATCTCTTTTCCGCGGTCTCGCTAGTGAGAATCTAGTGGTGCATTGTTTTTATGTGTACTGAACCCTCTACTTCAAGTCAATTACAGGCCCTTTGAATGTGTTGGTTTTCGGGGAGACCGGGGTCGGAAAAAGCTCCATCATCAACTTGATTATGGGACGTGACGTTGCACAGACGTCGCCAGGTCCAGAAACCTGCACATTGCAGCATACCTCCTATGAAGTCAATCTTGCTGATCGCCGATTCAAACTTTGGGAAGTTTCCTCGATCGAATCAATGGGTTTTTTCCGAACCCTTTTCACAAAATGGCGCTTGAAAAAGTCATACAAGAAGTTGTATAGAGATGACGGAGTTTACCTTCTTTTATATTGCATAAGAGGATCGAGGGCCCAGAAAGCACTGATCAGGGATTATAAATTTTTCACTGACATCGTTGGCTCTACAGCCACTGAGGCAGGTCGCGTGCCGGTTGCCGCCGTGGTCACTTCCTTGGAAGATTATCCTAAGGACATGGATGAATGGTGGACGAAGAACAAGGCCAATCTAGAATATCTCGGTATGCGGTTCTCCGCACACGCTTGTATCACTTCTCTCCCTGACGATCCAACATCCTCACATGTAATGCGCGCACGTCGACAGCGATCAGAACAAGTCATCCGCCGTCTTATTTATGATTCCTACAAGACAGGTACCGAAATACCTTACATTTCCCATCTAGCTCGGACTTTATGAAAAGTTGTCAAGCTTGCTTGCGCAATACGATTCTTGAATATTGGCCTCTGTAGGGCCGAGTTACTACGCGCGTTACTTTACAATACTTCAAGGTATTCTAGCTCATACGTAGTGGTACGATGTAATTGCTTCAATCTCTTCATATTTATCACTCCATATAATTAACTGCATATCGAACAAAATTCATATCATAGCCTGTGGTTGGTGACGGACGTTGGCGGTTTCCTGCCTGCCTTGATAATACAATACAACAGCAGATGGACTTCTCCATTGTCCCTCAGCCCCTTCATCAACTTGTCAGCATTAGTGACTGTCAAAATCCACTGTAGTTGATGGGGACATCCTCCGCTTCATAGCGCAAAGTACAATATTTGGTATCCGGAGAGGTCCTGGAGACCTTGCGCCCTGCGAGGAGATTGATGACGGAGCTTTTCCCGACGCTGGATTCTGGCACCTATGTCATTGCAGGCACGACATGAAGGTTACGTACAACCTGCAAAGCAAACATGAGGTTGGATGTTGACTACTGTGGCTGAGTAAGCAACGGGGTCACCCAGCCAACCACAGCATCTATGGTTTGTTATCACATAGAGGGTGGTCGAAATATTACTGTCCCACAAAATCGTGCCGAATGAATGAGAACTCGAAGAGATATAAGTGTTCCCAGTCAAACTAAAAGTAATAGGAGAAATATGGTATATGACAGGTGGCTGTATATTAAGGTTTACGAGCTTAGTAATATCGAGCTCTATGTTCGGGATTCTCTTGGGGTGCCTCCCGTGTACATCATGGCACATTTTACGGGATGTACAATTATGAAAAACGCACCGAGGGGGTGTGGTTTCAGCATCTTTTGCAGCTACAAATAGGATCGTTCTGCGGCAATTGCCATTGTACGTCGATACAACACGAAGTCACCACAGCAGGTACGACTAGCGCTATATCCAATTTGAAGGGTCAAATATCACTGACCACGAGTCTAATATAAGATGGGGCCATCTTCAACTCGTAACATTGTTATCTTTGGAGAAACAGGAGCAGGCAAAAGCTCTGTCATCAACCTGCTGGCTGGCCAACAGATTGCGCACATATCGCCTGACTCTCACCGCTGTACTCTGCATTGGATGGAATACCAAATAACCCTCGATAATGAGACTCGGTACAAGGTGTTTGATACGGTTGGCCTCGAAGAGCCCAGACTACAAACCGAAGAGTACCTCTCGGCAATTTCAAATGCATATAACCTCATTAACACTTTGAAAGAACGTGGAGGTATCAACCTCTTACTATTCTGTATACGTGGAGGTAGAGTCACGGCAACCATGCAGAGCAACTATCGGTTATTCTTCGAATTTCTCTGCGAGGAAAAAGTTCCGCTCGTGCTAGTCGTCACAAACCTGGAAAGAGAGATAACGATGGAAGACTGGTACACGCGACACAAAGGCTATTTGGAGAAGTATAACATCAGGTCCGCGGGACACGCATGCATAACTGCTGGGAATTTTCTGGACGGGAGGCATAGAGAAAAGTATGAGGAGTCGTATGGAATACTCCGTAGAGTGGTCGGGGCTCATTGCAATGCATCCATGGAAGGGTGGACCGGTGGGCGAGGATGGCTTGCTTCGTTCATTAGGAAGCTCGTGGAATTTGTCGTTGGACGTCCCAAAAGGACGGATATCATTGGGATCCTCACAAAACGATGTGGAATGGCCAAGGAGGTTGCTCGACAGGTAGCGCAGCACATTAAAGACGACTCACAGTCTCACATAGTCACGTAGTACAACGACCACTTGAGTCGGCAAACTAGTATTTAGCGTCCTTCATTGAATTATGTAGTGCGAAGATCGAAAATACCAAATATTATAACAAGAATGAGCGTAACGTAGTCATCATGAAGTTCATGCAGTTGGTGAGTGAAGCTTTAACTTTTCCCACTGTTGAAGCCTGGTCTGATGAGGTGTCGTCCGACGTGAGAGAGCAGATCATCGATCATCAATGAAGTTTGCAATGTAAAGTCATAACCGTTGATCTGATTTCCGAGCCTGATCGTTAATTACACTCCCTACGAAAACAAAAATATTACAAAGGTCATTATCATCAATTTGTCGTTCCTTCCACAACAGCCTTCAGTCGCTGTCTCAGCATATTCCTCGTGCTACTTCCATCCTTTCCGTCTTTCACATCCTTCTGCGACTCTGGCGCTGTCATCGCACTCTGCATTTCTAATTCTGAAAATGAGCTCAACGTCGGCGAGTTAGCACTTATAGACGGGGTACCAGTGCTGCCAAAAATGGAGCTCGCGGCAGTTCCATATCCGCTGGTCTCCATAGAATCGCGCACAACGCCCAACTCGCCTGGGCCCACAAGCTCGATAGTCTCAGTGAGCACAGCAATGCGAGTCCAACGTCGAAAACGCGTGTATTTTCCCATCCCGCCCTTCGAGCTCGCACCCTCCCATTTGTTGTCACCGTAAAGCCAACCCTCAGGGTCTGTAACAGCCTCATCTTCAGATGCGGAATCGAGGAACGGATCGCTGGAATGTTGTTCATCAATCCGTTCGGGTGAATCGGGAGGACCACTGGAGCTTGCATTCAGGTTGTCGCGGCCGCGTGCGACGCGTAACATCCGTGCTGCAGTAGATTCATCAGGTACATCTTTATCCTTTGGAGGTGTCTTCTCCACTCGCCAGACGCCCTCCTGGCCTTCCTTGCGTACGATAACGCGCCATTCAGGTTCTTCCCACGTCCAGCGGGCTACACGTTTTGCGCGACCGTTCTTGCCAACAGCGACGTATGCCGTTGTAGAGGAGGGAAGAGGAAAAACTGAGGGTGGGGATAATGGAACAAGGGAGGAGCTACACCATGATGGGCGCTCATTAGGAAGCAGCGCAGCTGTCCAATCAAGACCCATCCACCACCGCTGATTCTCGTAGACTGTAAACAAAAAGCGGAGAGGAGCGGAAGGCTTGGGTGTATCATCCGCTAATACAGATGCCGGACGTATCTTAATCGAAGCTTCCAAAGGAGAGGGTGATGCGGGTGGTCGGAGCGGCACCCCAGAGACAAATGCACATAGCCAGTAAAATGCCCATCGGATATGTGCACTGCGAGTAATGGATGCTCGGGCATGCCTAGCCCAGTGCGCTCTATGAATCATGAACAGGGTGCCACATGATGCGATGCAAATACGGAGACCGACGAAAGATGTGAGGGCAAGGTAGGGCAGATAGATAAATACGAGTACTCGGAGAACGACAAACGTTGGAGGGAGGGGGGATGCGACAAGAGGTGATGAGGGAAGCAGGGCGCGAATTGTCGTTAGATCAGATATGAGAGTGTGAAGGGCATTGTCGGTTATTACCGGCGGTGAGATCGCCGAAGATGCGTAATTGGATGATGTCCAATGTCTCAGTGCGAGAACAAATGTGACTGCAAGTGGTAAGAAGAACCTGACGAATGAAGATGTCCAAATCAGCCAGAATGCGTAGAAGTTGAACACGCATACCTCAGGGTCGGTTCGGAGAGCAAGCAGAAGGCCCACCATGTAGCAAGAGCAAGCCAGCTTTCCTCCCATGAAGACTCCCAGCTGATAATTTGTGCGAAATGCCTTATGGCCTGAATATATGGCGCAAGGGAAACTAGCTCTGAAGCAAGTGGTGTCGGAACAGTAGTCACAAATTCGATGAGTGTTAGAGGTGAGTGCACGGCAGGGCTCATAGTAGCCGCTGAGCTCGCAGGTGCCGTCAGGGGCACCTGTAGTATCTTTGGCTTGAGATTGAAGTCTTTGGATTTGGGGGACATCAATTAGCAGGTGATTTGCTAGCGATATAATTCACACGACGGCTGTGGGCCAATGGCCAATATACTTTTCAGTGAGAAAGCGCGTTTACTTTATAGCCTGTTCATGAGCTGGTTAGTTATACTTCTCGCACAAATATTAGCAACGTACGGTAAACCACAAAACTGCGCTGAAGCCTGACGCTCGAGAGAATGAAACGTAGCCCGGCGTTCGGCTGGTAGCATGTGGCAGGTCATGCTTATTGACGTGCAAAGTGTCGCATCTAAAAGTAGATCGGATTACATAACTTAAACTTTATTGGTTTCTTTCTAAACAGGGACAAACAACATGACCTTTGACACTGAAATGCAATCAGCAACGACGAGGCATGTTCGAACTTTACTGACCCTTTCTGTGTTAGTACGACTTGCAGTCTGGATATTAGTTTCGATTTCTGCATACTTGCTTCCACTGTTTGATGCATCACCAAGCATTTGGATCAGTGGAACACCCCCATCCTCTATCTTTCTTCGTTGGGATGCGTTCCATTTTGCGCACATAGCAAGAGAAGGATACGTATATGAACACGAGTGGGCATTCTTCAATGGATTGCCACTTTTGATGCGCATTTCAGCCTACCTGCAGGACCTGGCAGGTTTTGGTTCAAACGGTTGGGGGACGCTTCTTCGAGGTGGAGCAGGCATGGCCATACTGTGCGACTCAACACTCGTGCTATATCACTTATCATTGCATCATTTCCGCTCACCTTCCTTGGCATTTTTGTCTGCTGCACTCTCCCTATTCTCGAGTAGCCCCGCTGCGCTTAAATTGGCATCGTATAGCGAACCGTTCTTCACATATCTCTCATATCGGGGCATGCTCGCCTGTGCTCGCTCCAAGTGGGCTGAAGCATCTATATGCTTTGCATTGGCAAGCATGTTCAGGTCCAATGGAATATTCTTGTCCGGATTTATACTGTGGGGTATGCTGGTCACACCCTTTCTCTCAGGGCAGAAAGATCTAGTAAGCATAAGCAATCTGAGTTGTGATATTCGAGTTAATGCATTTATGCCAGCTTACTCCTGGGCGCCTACTTAAATGCGTGTTGTGGACCGCGTTGCCTCTGATCCCCTTTATCCACCACAATGTCATTGCATATATGCAATTCTGCAAACCACCAGTAACGCACATCCCGGATTGGTGTACGAACAATATGCTTCCTTCGATATACTCCCACGTGCAATCCGAATACTGGAAGGTTGGCTTTTTGCGATATTGGACAATCTCCAACATACCAAACTTTATGTTCGCGCTTCCTATCTTGCTTCACGTGTTCGCATTCTGCTGGTTTTATCTGTCGAACTTACTTGTCATTATTCCTCATATCGCCCCGCGGATCCGCTCAAAGAACGATGACGTCCCTCCCCCTTCTCGGCTTGACTCTCCATTTTTATCTCCGTCCCTACTACCCCACGTACTCCACGCCTTGGCGCTCACCGCAATTTTGACATTCAGTGCTCACGTTCAGATATCACTCAGGCTTCTCCCGTCTCTTCCACTCACGTACTGGGCTGCTGCTCGTCTCATGCTCGATCTTCCGAAGTGGGGGAAAGCATGGGTCACGTGGAGTATTTTGTGGGGTGCTTTGAGCTGTGTCTTATGGGCAGTATTTCTCCCACCTGCTTAAATTTGTATGTAAGAAATTGATGCATGGTGTATATATACCATCGGGAGACAGTAATTTGCCCCGACATAATACGCTTTGTTATAAATTAGTATTGCTGCATGATATCTGATATCGCAGTGCCGCAGATAACCCGCCGTTATTGAGGGGGATAGCGAGAAGCACCGCTCCCTACAACCCCCAATTTCAAAGCTGATCGGCCCCCCTCGCGCATGTAAACAGTCTTCGCTTCCTTGAGTACTTCTGTTCGTTCCAGCTTCCATGAGATAGTGCTTCATATCACGTTAAATAATACAACTAGATAGGATACAATACGGATGTACGTTATAGTCTACACAAAGCAAAGTGATATCATGAAAACAAACGCGAAATCTAAGCCATCATGTCATACAACCTCCAAAAGAAACTAAACCTCTTTGCCTTTGGTTCATCCTTTACTTCATCTAATGGTTCGTCGGCGTATTCGTCACTATACAGATCAACGGTTTGAATGTCCACAATATCGGACCTCCACTTGGAATGAGCTTCTTGGGTTCCAGCGTTGCGGGGTATCAGAGAGGTCGTCTCATTAGGGTGATCGGCGTTACCTGGAACTGGTATGGAGTCTATGAAGACGTTCTTAGCCAGGACCCAGCAGAGGCCCATGATAACCATGATGGGTATCTCGATGTAAAAGGAGACAAAATCCACTGGTGAGAATGTGGGGAATATAGAGGACCATCCTTGGACTTTTCAGTTCGTCAGTACTCAGTATGCAGAGACAGCAGTGCAGTACGCACTCAAGATGAGGGAGGTCACTGCAATAATCTGGGAGGTCGCATGGATTAGGGAACAGGTAGCTAGCAGTATTAAAACACGCACAACAAAGTAAGGACCCCATGGCCACGTCCACGATGCTCGAAACTTCATTTCGTCTAGAGATCGACCTTGTCTGATCCAGGCTTTCCTGAATCTCCAACTAGCCAGTCCAATTGATAACCAGGCAATCTAATTTTTTCTAAGTCCAGGCTTACCACACATTCACGTATTAATACGGACCTGGTTTGAGACCCCAACGATGTTTTGCAACCATCCCCACAGCTGGCCACTGCCAATAAAACTGCTGCCAAGACAGAGCACGCTAATGCTACTCGTCGCAAGCAGCGCGTACAAGGGAACACCTCCCCGAGTGGTCCGAGAAAATATACGAGGTGCGTGGGGGGTGGGGCTAACAACAGATAGGCCATAGAGAACTCTGGTCCCCGCAAAAAGGGCGTGGTTACCGGCAGATAATACAGAGGTGAGAATGACGGTGTTCATAAATGACCCGGCTACAGCTGTTCGAAATAACTTTAACACTTGGACCAAGGGCGAGGAAGGTGTGCTCACTTGAACCAGCCAGAGTAAATACAATCGTAAAAGGGGATGTAGTGGTCGTTTTATTCGATAGATTCGGGTAATCCCATGGCACTAATCAAAACAATTAGGTGTGTAGTGGCGTGCAAGCAGGGAGCAGCCCACCGTTTAGGCCGATGAGCAGGATGCTCAGGATATAAAATAACAGAATTCTAACCTCACGGCTCGCACATCAATGATCTATGAAAGTCTGAATGCTTTACTTGCCTCCAGAACACAAACTTAACAACCTTTGGCATGTTCTTCGAGGGGTTCTCCGTCTCTCCTGCGGTGATACCTAGACTTTCTGTTCCACCATCTACACACTGATCAGGTAAATAGGTTCACAATTACCAATGCAACTCACATGCGAAACTAGCTGTCACGAAGACCTTGGCGAAACCACCAAAGCCACCAACGAACGGAGCCCCAGGAATGTACCAATTGTGTGCTCCGATGTAGGTATGCGACTGATTGACGCCGACATTGACAAGGATGCCAAGGATGATGAAGATCACAATGGTGACGACCTTCAGGAATGAAAGCCAATACTCTACCGCAAGGCGTTAATCCCATTTTGGAAAGGGAAAGGAAATATATGCTACTGACCCAATTCTCCGTAAGCTTTGACGTGAAAGGAGTTGAGTGATACAAGGAACACCCAAAAGAGCAGGCTGACCAGCCAAGGATATGAAGGCGTCCAGAATTGTAACACCAACTGAGCAGCAGTGAGATCGGAGGCGACAGACACTGCATCGTTGAACCAATAGTTCCACGATAGGGCAAAACCGTAAGATGGCGAAAAAAAGCGTATTGCATAGGCGTTAAACGACCCTTTGAGAGATGCAAATGATTAGGGCGCTGCCTAAGTATATAAAAGAAGTGACACACCAGCCACCGGGTACTGTGTAGCCATCTCCCCTAACAGCAATAGCGTCACATACACAATGAATCCCACTATGCCATAGCAAATCAGCATGCTCGCAGGACCGCCTTGAGCAAGGGATTTTCCGGTTCCGAGGAAGAGTCCAGTTCCAATGGTACCACCAATTGCAATCATTTGTACTTGACGTGCAGATAGGCCACGCCGTAGACCTCCGCGCACCGGCTGAGGGATTGACGCTTCCGCATCATCTATATTGACGTGTTGTCCACGTGCTGAGGACTCAGGCTTAGTCCGCGAGGAAGAGCGAGATGTTGAACGAGTCATAGGCCAAGTCCAATGTACATGAAGGGGAAGTAGGAAAGAGACACGCGATTGCAATCGGATGCAGTTATTTTTGTACGTGCACTATCTGACCAGTGCATATATGTGGCACCATGATGCACCGCACGGAATTCTGTCGCCATCATTCGCGACTCGATAACCCTTGTGGCTATATTAGGTCAGCTTGGGTGCCGTACTTTTGTAATTGATAAATTAATAATTAGTAATTGTAGTAATAGTAATTCGGGTACCGGCAGGGAGGTTGACTAAGAGCGTCTTGGCGTTTGACCAGCGAGTGCTCGCCGTGGTCAACGAGGAAGCCGGCACCGGCGGGAATGCAGATGCAGATGCAGGGATACATAGCCAGACGATCAAGCGAGAAATGTGTGAAAACAATTAAAAATGTACCGTGCCCCACGCTAGGACACAGGGCCCCCACGGGCACTGTCACGGTATGCAGGAAAAAATGGGCTCCTGCCAGGAAAAAGCGTACCTCGTGAAATGCTAAAACTCTCTGAAGTCTCATGGCATACCATTGGGGCAGTCATCAGCGGCTTGAGTCTCAGGCTGGACTACGATACGATGAGCTTGGATAGCTTGGATGGTGATATGTATGATCATATGCTACACTAAGACGAATAAAGCTACTTACTGACTAAGCTGTAGAAAGGGCAGGCTAGCGAAAAGCAGGGATCCAGTACGTGTTTTATGTACATAAAGCACTCGAGAAGCACTTTTGTAGTCTGCAATATTGTCGTAAATCGGCACACGGAGACACACCAAACATATTTTTGGGTGGAAAAAATTGCGCCAAGTTGCAGGGTAAGTATCCTTAAGCACTGTACATAGCTAGCTACAGTTTTCCCGCACCACTCGGAAACAAAGTGGTTATAGCAGGGTTTGGGGGATATCACAGCCACGAACTCCTTCCCCGATGGTGTCGATCGTTGTGACCAAGCATGTAGACTAGACAACTAGCTGGTGGCCAAATCACGTTTGAAATTTGAGGTTTCAACTGAGACATCACTGCCATTTCTTTGTGCAGCGAGTGAGCGCTCTTGAGGAAAATGTAAAAGGAACACACCTTTCTTGAAGTAGAGCCGCCTGGCTCTGAGCCCGAAGTTGCACAACATGCTAAGACCAGAAAAGCAGAAGGATGATCACAAACCAATTACGATGTCCAAGCCCAGCGACTCCCACTTGAGGGGTCTACAATAGTTATTCGCAAGATAAAGATAGACAACAACCAGCCTTACAGAGATGTGTCTCGTTCAGGATGGTCTTTCGCCGTGCATGACGACTCGCGTTCATTGCCTTAACGTTAATATTGACCAGGTTTGAGCGTCAAAAATGTCACCATTCATGAATACATGGCATGTGGTTTGGAGAAAGCAAGCCTATATGTACATTTAAGTTGGAAGTTCATGTCTACTATGAAGCTTGCCAGATAAAAACGTACCTGCTCTCTTGGTAGCCACTGGCAGCTGTTTCTCCTGGAGTCCCAGGGCCTACCTTTCGTATCCTGTCGCGTGCATCGCATTCTCGCCCTTGTTACCGCAGATAGGGACAGCAGCGGATGAATGATAATGATGATGATGCTGAGGTGTACAAACTTGAAGCACGTGAGGAATTAAATATAATTCCGTCACGTAATACGTTTAACAACGTAACGACGTTTTCCTCTTTGGCAATCCAACGAGTTCTAATTGCCTTTGCCCGGGCCCTGTACAATTGTTGACAAGCGTTTCAAGGTAATAGTAAATTTCGAGAGCAACGTGGTTGGTACTGATAACCTCATGTACAACCATATACGTGCAGCGTCTCTTTCCGATATGGGGGATCGATCTCAGTCGTCTGAACGCCCGGCATTACCAAGCCCACCGTCATCTAAGCCTTCGTTACCACCCGGCATGGTGATTGGTCCGGACGGAAAACCCTGCAAGATATGTACGGCCTTTCGTAATTGGAGGCCCCCTTCAGGCACTGCCAGTTCGAGCAAGAAATCTACCGCAGGAATGATGGCTGCCTTTGCATCTGGAACAGGCTTCCGACCCCCAGATTCTAAGCCAGACAATGCAACACTGCCCGCACACTGTCCACCGGATGTCGAAGCCCTTGGACGTGCCACGTGGTCATTTTTGCATGCGACTGCGGCATACTACCCAGCACGGCCCACCACCCACCAGCGTGCAAATATGCTAAACCTCATCCATGCGCTACCCGTCCTGTATCCATGCACACACTGCGCGGCGGACTTTGGCGATAAATTAAAGGAGCATCCCCCAGACGTGAGCAGTCGGGAGAGGTTGAGCAAGTGGTTCTGTGAGCGTCATAATGAGGTGAATGAGAGGCTGGGCAAGGAAATGTTTGAATGTGCAAAGGTTGATGAGAGATGGAAGGATGGTCCACCCGACGGCAGCTGCGACTAGATTGCAGTGTGTTCGTGCAGGTAGGTTTGCTTGTTATCCGCTCCCCAGGAAACACATAAAGCCGTCAATAAGCATGGACTACAAGCTCCCAATAATACCACTCATATGAAATCCACGGTATTGTTTTGCAGTTCGAAGATTTGAACACTATCCGACGAGGCGACCAGACAGTGACATGAGTCTTAACACCGTCGCCGGCATGAATGATATGCAATTTGAATATGAGGCGACTTCGCACACTGCATGAGGCAGCAACGTGTGGGTGCAGACTGTTGAGTGCTTCTTTAACCTTGAAATAACCTGTCCTACACTTACTTGTCCTCTGTCGCATTGAATTCGAGAGTCTTGGTATGTTGTATTCTTTACAAATCATTTTTCGACATATTTACTGTCGTAGCATAATTCAGCAACTTGAGCCCAGTGCCTAGATCAATACCAAAAGCAAGAGAGTGGTGAATATGTCGGTAAGTGTCTTGAGCCAGCGTTGCAATCTCGAATGTTCATTGGATAGTAGACATTCAACGTACTCGTCGTTGGCCAAACTGGATGTGGGAAGAGCTCGGTCGTGAACATACTCGCAGGAGAAAGCCGGGCACCCACATCAGGCGACCTTAATCACTGTACTGAACACTGGACTGAGTACACAATTCCAGTCGATGGTCGTTCATTTCAAATCTTTGATACCATTGGTTTTCTCGAACCCGGGCTGGATACAAAAGGGTATACGGAAGCTATCGCTGATACATACCTCGCGATCGATGCTCTAAGGCAAAGAGGCGGTATAGATCTACTCCTCTATTGCGTACGCAACGAGGAGATCGAGAAGATGAGGGGTCACTATAGGCTGTTCCATGAAGTGTTTTGTGAAGAAGACGTCCCAGTCGCTCTCGTCGTCACAAATCATCGTGGCGTAAACCAGAAAGGCTACAAGGCGATCTTCAGCTCGCACAAAATCGCTTGTGTGGACTATGTCTGCGCAAACATTGCTAGCATGCGTGGATCTGAAGATCTAGCTGCGAACATCGAGTCGCAGAAAGCGATCCAGGAACTTCTGGTGAAATGTTGCGATGCAGGACCTAATCCTAGGTCTGCTCTGCAACAAATATGGCGGCGAGTTCAAAAATTCGTTGGGACAGACCAGTCTCGAGGCCTCAAACGAAATGAAGTATCTGCGCGGCTCACGCAGCGTTGCAAGATGGAACAGGAGGTGGCCGAGCAATTGCTCGCAGCCCTCAACCTCGAGTCGCCGTCGAGTCGGCTTTATCGAGCACCCTATGCAGGCGGTAAATGTTGGTTTTCTCTGTTTTATAGTGTCGTGTCGACTCATCGGCGATTGTAGCTTCAACTCACAAGTTGCCTTCGTCAGCGAACAGTGACAGTACTCGAGATGAACAAGTGTCAGACGCCAGGCCGAGGTAAGCCTACCGACTGACTGACGAGATTTGAACTCAAACGTATCGTGTATTCCTTCCCTTCAGCTCTGGATCTCAGTTACATTCTGTTGTGGATAGTAGTACCTCTCTGCGTTCTCGCCCAGACAACTGATGTCGTCACCCGAGCACCAATCCGTCAGAACATGTGTACTTGTGAGATGAGATGAACCATACTTGACCAAATGCTTCAGCTGTACCATATGCTTCCCTCGTACATGTCATTATAATTTACAGACGACGCGCTGATGCCATAACATATTCCAGGACAACTTGAATGCTTACTCGATATATACTGCATGGATAAACCATCGAATTGACTACATTAATGACCTCACAATAGCATATGATTATCGTCAATAAAACAAGATTGTGTAGACATCGGACTAGCGGTTTGTAAAATCCTACAGCTCTGGTGCGTGCAAGGTGGGATTTGAAACGCTATGGGTTGAGAAACCGCTTCCAGGATAGTCTCGTCGATCACAGCATTCTGCAATTCGGACATTTCTCGCAAATTGAACAGGAGGCGTGAGGCGAGAACGCTATGCGCGACTAGCTGTGGGCTTCTCCGACTCAGATTTAAACACGAAATAAGTAACGATATGGCTTACCCAGCAAGGAGTGCACTGTAGGATGGCTGGACGCCCGGATCAGAAGTTTATATGGCGATATAAAAATGACTTGCTTACAGGTAGTAAAATGATGGAAATGCAATTGGCCGTCGAGACCACTGCGAAAAGTAAGCTCGCGTTACTCACAAGAGCCTTTGAAACTCACGAGTGATACAAAGTATGGAAATTATGCCATCCCGACATAAAGCAGTCACCAACGGACTATGTTCCATTCGGAAATATTTGAAGTGTTTGTACAGTGTCAGCGTCATCAGCACTGCGAGTGGTCATGCAGTAACTGAGCAGAATCATCACAATGATACGTACCAAGCTCGACCAACATCAACAAACCATAAACTATGCTGGAGCTCTGCCCTTCCACAAATACGCCAGTCGAATCTGAAGATATGGTGTGAGAAAATAAAATTCAGGAGAAATGTACAGACCTCTGGATTTGCTTGCACCAACGTCTGAGATTACCAGCACCGCTATTGAAACAGCCTGAGGGAATGGTTCATTTTCTTAGTCAAAAGCAACTGACTCGGGAGAAAGAGACTAAGCTCACCGTGGTAAGAATCAATGTCAAAACCAAGAACCTTTTGTTACACTCCCAAATCACATATGTCCTTATCACAAGCAGGACTTTGAGCAAAAGGCGTCATTGGAAAAGAAACAATTTGATTTATGGAGTGGATACTCACGCTCAGCAGCAGCTATACCCAACCAGCGGATGACTAGAAAATGATTGAGGATTGGATTATAATTGAGATTGTTGTTGTACACCACCATCATATACAGCAGTGAATGTCCCATGATTGGGCTGAAATATCATCATGAGTGTTTTTCAATGTGGTGTAGCGAAGAGCTTACAATTCCTCCATGGACGGACCCGACCGAGTCTATCCGCGGGACCTCAGTGAAGAGCAAGGGTGGACAAAAGGCTGGGAGTACTCACAGTATACGGTCATAACAAGGCCTACAAACGGTGAATAGCGAGAAACGACGAAGATTATCCTCGTTGTTCCCCACCCTCTTCCCCATGTCCAACGAACCTGGCATCTTGTCAAATTTACATAGCGCGATTAGAAATAACTGACCTCCGAGTCGAAAGTGATGATGAAGTCAAAAAGCTACCAAGAAAAATTAGTATTTATGACGACTCAGAGTCCGTTTGGTCTCACTTACTAAAACTGTTATAGATGCCACTGTAGAGGATTCAGTTTTGCCAACATAAAAAGGAAAATATAAACTACCTGCAGTATACTGAAGTCAAATGAGCAAATAAAATGGATGGATGAGGAGTATACTACGCACTGCAACAGTTTGAAAACCAACGGAATCGGAAAAAGAGTCACTCCGAGTCATGTTGAGCTGAGATCTTCTGTAGTAGGCTGAAGAAGGAATTAGACAGTCGTCCCATCAAGGTCGGCGTGTTGGGGAGAATTTCTTCGAGTCACTGTTAAGTAGTATTGACTCTCCCCACAAGCGTTGGAACCTGGAACTCCGAGGAAAGACTCTTTGAGCGACATACGTAATTACAGTCCTTCGAATACCTAATAGCGGTAACCGAACTGCATTAACAGTGGTATACATGTGGTGGCGGGCCGGCAGGCCCGACCTCAGAGAACCGGTGAGAAGACGAAGGACGATGCAGAGCGCCGATGGCACGCAGAGTGTCTACGGGAAGCATCACTTTGATTAGCGCAACAAGTACTTGTGTGTGGCATATGATGGAGACTTCAAGCTTAATGCACCCATCGCCGAGACTCTTGAGCAGGTAGAAGCAGGTTCACCTTAGCTGCCTGCCATCGTCAGTGCTAACCAACACCGCCAAGCATCGGGAATCGATTTCCGAGACCGCCTAAATGATTCACTACGATTGCCTATTTGCTAACTTCCTGTTATATTCAAGTGCACGTGTACATATCTTAGCACGCCTCCGACCTTCTTGTTTTCGCCTTACTTTCAAAATTTACCAATTGGAACACTTGCAATACCCACCTCGAAGACCTGCCAGAGTGTCAGAGTTCAATTTGCTATGTGCTCGTCATTCTGGTATCGGCCAAATCTTTGACTTGCAAAAACGACACTGATCCGAACCGATCCCCTTGTCTTCTCCGCTATGGTCACGCTGCTGCGCTGGAAGACCATCCAATGCGAACGATCAATCGCTTGACTGAACTTTGCACAAGCATTTTTAAACTCAGATCTCAGATCGTGCCAGCACGATAATTATAGTGATATCTCACTGCATAGTTATCAAATACGTATCTGTCTTATCTTGGTGTACAGGCAACCATGCACTTCCCAGGGAGGCCATTCTTGTTTTTGAGGATCTCTCTCTTGGAAATTGCTTACAATGCCTGCCTCGAAGAACGCCAAGCTTACGCTCAAGCCCGGCAAGAAGTCTGCGGAGCCCAACTATGTCCTTGTCATCCATGGCGGTGCTGGTACCATGATGCGGGAGGAATCAACGCCTGAGCAACGCGCCAAGTACAGGGCTGCACTCTCACGGGCATTGAAAGCGGGCTATGAGGTGCTCAAGAGTGGAGGAGAAGCTATGGATGCTGCGGTCCAGGCTGTATCAGTCATGGAAGGTGCGATAAACAAGTTTTTGGGCAGTCGATAACTAACTTCTACATGTGACTTATAGACTGCCCCTTGTTTAACTCTGGGCATGGCGCGGTCTTTAATGTTGCAGGCAAGGTACGTTTCCTTGCCTATGATCAAGGGCCCTCTTGTATATCATCCTATCTAGAATGAGCTCGAGACTTCTTTAATGGTCTCTAAGCCTCCTGCATCGCACCCCGCAATGCCCTCCTCTCGACGCGGATCCTCGGTTACGTTAATCACTCACACTAGAAATCCTTCTCATCTCGCGCGCGCGCTCTACCTCGCACCTCAGCTTGCCCCTCACCCAATGTTGTCGGGTGCAGCAGCAGAAGCCATAGGTGCTTCACTTGGCGTAAGTCAGGTCGATCCATCCTACTTCTGGACTGAGGCACGGTGGAGAGAACACAGACGTGGTCTTGGGTTGCCCGAAGATCCTGTTGAATACCCCAGACCTGAAATACCCGACGACACAAATTCAGAGACTACGGATGTCGCCACCCTTTGTGATGATAAAGAAAAAGAGACGTGGGAGCCTCTTGATCTGATGCCAACGGGTACTGTTGGTGCGGTCGCACTCGATATCCGGGGCTGCATTGCAGCAGTAACCTCCACTGGGGGACGTACGAACAAGCTTGTCGGTCGGGTTGGAGATACTCCCGTAATGGGATGTGGTTTTTGGGCTGAAGAATGGGTAAGGGACGGTGGATTTGTGAAGCGTACCTGGGATCGTCTAAGAGGCAAACCGAGTGTTGAAGGTGTAGGCGTCTCGGGTACTGGTGACGGAGACGTGAGAAACAACCGAGCAGATCTTCAGCTTGCAAGTGCTAACCATACCCTTTAGTACTACATTCGTCGAGCTGCAGCTTCCAACATTGCCCGGCGGATGCAATACCTCGGCGAGTCCCTGGACGAGGCGACTCAGAACGTCATAGATGACTTGTTCAAGGAAGGAGGAATGGGCGGTATTATTGCGTTGGACAGAGAAGGAAACGGTACGGCTTCGTTCTCGCGTAAACTATACACTGACTTGAACTCTGGCTGTAATAGTGGCTCTTCCATTGAACTGCAGTGGCATGTATCGCGGCGTTATTCGTCCTAATGGCGTACCGCTCACGGCTATTTTCTTCGACGAACAACTTACTGAACTCTGAGCTGTGCAAACAAATTGCACCTCAGCTCACATTTATCGCCGGTTGATAATTGTCCCTGATCGCATGGCGGGACTTGGCAACACACATCTCTCTACAGACACATTCATGTAGGACTAGTTGATAATCAGGGCACTCGGAACTAGGTAGACACTAGAATTCACTTCGGACCTCACATGTAAAAGCCAATACATGTGGTTGTGTATCCCTTTTCCTGGACAAGAAACAAGTCACTTTGCCGGAGTGGTTAACGGGATCGCCTGCTATTCATAGCTAAGCGGTTGGGCTTTGCCCGCGAGTGTTCGAATCGCTCAGGTGACGCTTTTTGGTCCATTTCTGCAATCGAGTGTTCCCACGGCGTCTGACATGGACGCGTCCAGTTATTCTCTTTGCCGCAACTCTGCACAAAGTGTGAATGTTTGAACACTGACGCGGACGATGAGCGCGAACAAATATGCAAATCTCCCTGACATTGTGCGTATAATCGCTACTATTCCTGTAATACCTCTGTTTATTGCTTGATGACAGGACACTGCACCAGATGTCTATGAAACGGAGGACGTGTTTCCCTCATCTGAAACCAATGTTCGTGCTCGTCATGTTCCTAAAATGCTACCGACGAACAACTGATCTCTCTCAGAGAGGAGATTCGGATTCTGACGAACCCTCAGGTCCACGGATACGCGCCCAGCGGGGTGCGGATACCTCGAAAGAAGAACTCGATGACAGCAACTTGATCAGCGCGGAAGATGCGAGCAAACACTTTCGGAGAGCCGAACGACGTCGTGCGTTGCATTCCTCTTAAACATGTATACTGCGTATCGGATTACCAGTATCTGACTATACCTCAGGCCAGGAATCACGCTTTGCATATCCCCCGTCGCCGACATCCTCACCATCACGTTCGCCATCGCCGAGTAGGCGACCTCTTCCTGCGCGCCTGCGAGCACTGCAAGCTGAGCTTGCTGCTCTGGAGGGTGAGGTTGCCGATCCGTCCAATCCTGCACTTAAAGCCGAGGGTGTCGATGCTGGTGAGATGATAAGGGGATTAGTAGACGTGCGCAGACGGCTAGAGAAAGTCCGAATGGGGCGTGAGGGGAGAGGGAGGTTAGTCGGTGTTGTCCTTGGCGATGGTGGCAAGGAAGACAGTAAAGAAGACGTGGAACAGCCCAGTGCGGATGGCGAGGCAAAGGAGTCGAAAGTGCAGGGAGTACCGGAAGTTCGGGGCATTGCTGAAATGGACAAACGAGTCGGGGAGTTAGAGAGACTAGTGGGCTCCGTGGGCGCGACTTTGGACGAGGTATGCATTTTTGTATGTGAAGGGGCAGGACATTGTTGACCAGTATTCAGTCTACCCCGATTACTCCACCGCTTCTTCCTATGCTCACGCGTTTGAACTCGCAACTGATGCTTTTGACTCAACCACGGCATATTGACTCCATCTCCCGTCGACTGAAACTTCTGTTGTCTGACCTTGAACGAGTATCTACCGCACAGTCACAAAAGCGCCAATCGCAGCAGCCTGGGGGTACATCCATTATTTCTGGCACCGCAACTCAGGATGCGCTCCTCCCACTGTTAACACGTCTAGCTCCTTCGCTTCCTCACATCCCGCATATTTTGACTCGTTTGCGTACCCTCTCTGCGTTGCATGCATCTGCGGGTGAGTTTCAGGGAACGATAGCAGCGCTCGAAGAAGAGCAGCGTAAGACAAGGGATGCCCTTGAAGCTCTCAAAAATGCCGTCGGAGACGTGGAAACCAGTTTAGAAGCCAACAAGGGGACCGTTGCAGGGAATGTGCAAGGCTTGGAGGACAGAGTAGACAAAGTTTTGACTCGGCTCGAGGAGCTCTCAACGTAAGTAACAGTAGACGATCATAATGATACCATTAATGCAATGACGATGGATGTGAGTAAAAGATAATCTTCCCGTGCAACTTCTTTTCAATCAATCCAGATTGGTAACCCCACTGTCTGCAAGAAACTCTCTGGCATGCTGCTTGGCTGCAGCTGAAACATTTGGATCTGGAGAGGCACACGATTAGAAGGTGTTGCGTAGAACGGGAGCAGAGCTTACTATGAATGGCCGCCTTGTATCCAGCAATGACACGATGCTGGTGTTCCTCTTCTGAATGTGCATCAAGCTTGTGCTGGATACCAGCAGCCTCCAACACTTCTCTGGCGTGTTGCTTGGCTTCCTCGGATACATTGGGATCTGCACGAATCAGCAAGACGGTGCATCCTCGCAAACAACAGACGTACTAGAAGTTGCTGCTTTATAGCCCCGAAGAACATGCTTCTCATGTGCCTCGGACGCTGCGGACTGAGTAGCCTTTGTCTGCGTTGGCGTGATGGGTTCTGCTGACTTGACCCATCTCTTCAAGACGTTTCATGGCGTTCTCCTTGGCCTCTTCCGATACATTAGGGTTGTGGACAGCCGCTTTCAAGCCAGCAACAACGCGCGCTGTGTCTTTGGTGTGTTCTGCTGGTTCCTGAAACACAAAGAACTCGTAAGCATCGGAAGGGGACGACTGAAAATGTGGAAAAGATGTACCGGACATGATTTTGTTTGTTGAACAAGTGAGAGAACTGGATTATGGACATCACCCCCTAGGGGACGCTTTATATACTCTACACACTAGAGGGGCGTCATGGACTAGGGGCATCACGGACTGACGTCGGTATGATATCACGTTCACGTGATGTGTGCAATTATTTTTTGGAGGTAACGAAGATTTCCTTAATAATAAATATTGGCGCTCCTCCGCTCGTTGCCGCTCACAGTGAGCGGGCGCTTTTCAGAGTCATCGCGACTCATGCTGACTAAGCGTCTTCCTCATCGCTCAGTTGCACAGCCATCAAGTCTTGATTGTCGTAAACGATCCACAGTTGCTAGTTGATTCATAAGGTCCGTCACCAACTTACTGCTAAGTAACCCCAGGAATACCACTCTATCTCCTTCGAAGCACCTCAAGCACAGCGACCAGTTGCATTCCCATTCTCGCGTTGAAGCTGCAGCCTCCCAATTCCCGATAATGGCTTCTGTTGCATCTTCGAATACCCTCAAATCGCATACATCTCCCTCGAAAGTATGCCTCCCATGCATCACCCAATACAATATTTGACGTTCGCTACCTTAGCCCTCTTCTACTCGGACTTATGATGCAAAGCTCGTTTCACGAGAAATGCACCGCCTCGGGACCCTCGCAGGTCTTAATCCCAGCATTGCCCCCTCATTATCCACAGGTCCTGTTGCACCTCCTCTCGCACTCGCACCATCAACCTCGCCATCCAGTGGCGGTATTGCAATTGCTCCTACAATTCATTCCAGCGCGTCAAGTGTGGGTATGACGGACAAGGACAATCCCTGGCGCACACTACATGTGCATGTCCTTCCCCTGTTCAATGAGGAGCCATTACGCATACCCATGTGCGTTTGTTGCGCGATCACCTGCTCTGCACAGTCTAAGTATATACAGAGAAGACCTCAACGCCCTTGTACGGCGGCATATCCAAACCGTACTAGCTGTATCCCCTTCGAAAACCTTGGCGACTCTCGAAACGGACGCGCGCGAACTCATTGCAGCAGGCATGGTCACTCTCAACGCCAAGCTCTCTAATATTTCAGACGAAATACTACTGGGCCGTGTCACTGAAATCTGGGCCTTTTTCTGGGACCAAATACTCCCATATGTCGAAGGGGTTAGCTCTCTTGCCCCCGATCATGGCTCATGCTTCTGTTCTAAGCTCATATTTTAGGTCTTATTACCATTGCAAACCGATCCTTTACTGACTTCGTTGCATCGTACGCAAAAACAGCATCGGACCTCTTCGCCTACGCGACAAGGCAGTAAACTGAATGGCTCATTAACGCTATCTTCGCTATCTCCGACGATTGATGTTCGCAGCGTTGCTTTATGTGCGTTTCGTGATCGTGTCGTGCTTCCTGTGCATGGCCGTCTACAGAATCTGCTGTCCCCTCCTTTTGGGAAAGACATGCTCGCACGGTTAAGTCCCTTCCGCCAACCGAGATTACAGCAGATGTGTGTACCTTATTAAATCTTAAATCAAATTCCTTGTGATATCTTCACTAGGTTGTTAGTCCTTACATCTGAGCGGCGCGTCCGCTCTCCCTCTCCACCCCTTTCACTACACGCACCTGTTATGCAGCCTTCGGCAGGCGAGGCAGCAATCGAGTCTCTGCTCCGCCTAGTCTCAAACCAGCAGCGGCTTTCGCATGGACAAGGTCTCGCACCTCGGGCAGCCACACCCAGTTTCCTGTCTGCTGGGCGCCCACGTGATCGACGAGGGCGAATTGGTTCCTCCGGGGCGGCGAGTGTACTTGGGATTGTCGGTGGGTGGGCAACGATGCCCGCACAGACAGATGAGCGGCAGGAAGAGGAAGAGGGTGGAGAGACTCCGAAAATTGGGGGGATTGATAAGGGGCTGACAAAGCCGTACCACCAGCGTGGGGGTGGGTGGGGTCTTGGAGCTGGGAACGAAGACATTATCAGGCCAGTTGAAGAAGACGACGATGACGAAGCCTTAGACTGGGCACAAGCTCAGGTTAGTGGGAGCTATCCGGCTGAAGCGATTTCAAATTAATTCTGCATCAATGGTTTTAGGCTGCGGTCGAGAGGATGGTAGGGGTAAAACCCATTGAAGGCGTTGCTGATTCACGCAGAAGGGCAACTTAGTTGATGTAACTAAAACATGTCTTCGGTGTTGATTATCTGTGTACTGATACTGTCTATGCCTTGCCATGGGTATGGCCGCTTCTCGTATTTCGTGTTCCTATTTGCCCTAAAGCTGATATTCCGCACGAAGAATACCTAGGAACCTAGAAAGGAGTATTAGTTGAAACTTCATTCGACATAACATTCCTGAGTTTGGTTTATTGTTTTAATCAACTGATCAATCTTGGGAGTGTTGTATTGAATGAAGGCCCATTTCAGCAGCATGCGTTCGCTCTCATGCACACAGTGACCGGTGGTACAGGTCATTGTTGTTGATATTTATGCACTTGCACTCCTTGAGAGGATGGAGTGCAAGGAAGCGAGTCCTTCATTGATGAAAGGCGACAATCTTTCACTAATTAATGTCCTGATCATAGCCATCTTCCTGTTCAGTATCATCGTGGTACTACCAGTGCTGATCACAAAGCCTTCCTTGAATTGCTTTCAGAGGCAACAAAACATCTTCACACGCCTTCATGTATTCTAGAACTTTATTGTCAACCCACTTCCAAGAGACCCAATTGATGAAGTTATTGAGAATAAGTTTACTGTCACGTTACGAAGTATTTCCTAACATCGACGAAAGGCGGGTCGGGACGGATATCAGTGAAGTTACTACCACAAAACGAGAGGTCAGGGCGGAGGCCTATGTACATCAGACGGGCGTTATTCAATGCTAAAACAGAAGGAAATTAGAGGAACATTTTCGATAATGTCTCGCATCGTATTGATGCAAGTGATCTCAATATGTTGATAGTCCTCGATATCACGCGGAGCAACTGAGCAAATCTGGTGTCCAATCCTCTCAGATGGGCTCGATCATTCGTCTCTGGCATGCTACAAGCATGCTATGCAGTCAAAATGAATGGATCAGACATTCAAAATTCAATATTCAGTTGTGTGAGGCTATATAAATACTGTCCGCGATATATTACTGAAACACAATAAGCTTTCAATATCACCGCCTTTTGGCGTAATGGTAAAGGTGGACATGTACAACAGGCTTGACCAAGTTACAGCCAATAGTCGAGGTCTCGCCAACAGTGGGGTTTCTTTTCAAATTCCTTGTTACCTTGAAACAGAGGAGGTATCACGCAACAAGTGAACGAGCTGCAAGCTCTTCTCCGCTTGCCAACTCTCATACCACGCAGTAACATAATGGAGCAACCCAGAGCGATCTAGCATCATTACAGCAACCACCTGCCGCTGCCACGACATGCACGAGACTTCCAAGTTCCCACAGTCACTGATTCCCGTGACACTGGATCAATCTCGCCTCCTGACATCACCGTAAGACGTGCTAGATGGAGGGCTTGCTTTCTGCTCTCGGCGCCCATTCAGAACATAAAAGGCCAGTAACCATGTCAGTGGTTTGCAATTCGATAGGAAAATAAGGTTTCAGCTAACGAGCAAGGGCTCCCGCAGGAGTTTGCAAGTTTGAAATACATCTCGCTCAACCATCCGTCTTGATGCACTCGACCAGTATGTCCAGCACCTTTTGCCTGGAACTCCGATGGATATGTCAAATATTTCCTCTGGAGCATGATGTGATCCATTATATCTGCGCCATTGATTGGCCAAAGACAAGCAGATAAAGCAAGTCGTGCCCGCTTATGTGATGTCTACGCGGCTCTGGTTGATTGAAGTGTGCCGAACACCGCTCGATGTGAATTAGTACGTACGTGAGTCGAAATCAAGACATGAAAGGCAGCGGATAACGCACGTTGCCATAGATTTCACCAGCATAATTTCAGTAGGAGTGTTGTAAACTGATTTCTATGACTTTGCAGCTGTGAGCATCAGATGACTGGCTGCCATGTCTAGTAGTGCCGTCAAACAGAGATCAGCAGGTAACGGAGATCCATGTGTCTAACATACATCGATTACAACATTTCTAAAAACATCGGGAAATGCGAATCTTGTTCCAGAGAAGCGATATCAAGGGCCGATGACTGCGTCAGCGAGGGTCTGTAAGTTGGCAGTTATTTTTGATCTTGTTTATTTGATTAGGCCAGATACGGTTTATAACGGTGGCGACGTATATGCGGAGAGACTGTCATGGATTGACAGGCGGCTTAATGTTGAAGGTGATATTTGCCGCAAAGAGTTACAGGATGTCTCCAATCCCCGCCTCTCAAAGAACAAATTGACCCGCTCCGGGGGGGGAGCTCTTCGGTATAAACTTCGTGAAAGTAGCATATCAACTTAGGCATGGTTCTTCAATGATGCACTTCGAGGGATCAGCTTCTCGAACGTAGGCGACGGATAGACGAGGTGTAAGCCTTGGTAAAATTAGAAAAACACGAGTTAAGTGGAAGCGTGATAAAGTTGCATTACCTAGTACTTATAACCTGATGTAAAACGCGTGAAAATTGCTTCCTACCCAATGTATGATTCCAAGAGATGCCGAGTATGGTTTCATCGCGGAAGGAGATGTATATCGAGTCGGAGTTGAGCGCACGGGCGGAGTTCAGGAAGTCACTCAGAATTACGTGAGCTATGGGGACGCGCTCTTGCTCTCAGGCTCTTCGAATTCAACTGGGACTCGAGCCATGTGAGCTCATAAATTTTTCTGTCAATGTTGAGTCGGGCACGTTGTAAGTTATAATGTCTTTATTCGCTCAAGTTGGATCTCGCTTGAACTTGTTAGGTACTAATACTAGGATGTGCGACATGACGTGTCTTCCGAGTCCTGCAGGGAGCTTAGTATCGCTGTCAAGTTTGCATGATAGGGCTTTTCGGACCGCCATTTCTTGCTACTTCGGTGAATTTAGAGGTAAGCACTATTCCCAGATGCTGACACCACGGACTCCCACAGATTCCCGTGCGCGTGTTCCTCCATTGTACGGGGCTCAAGTGTTGGAACATTCCCACCACATGATTCCCAGCATTGTCATTCTTGCGACGCCACTGTCGAGATTAAATTAATGCATGTCGCAACCAAAGCCAAGCCTTGATACCGTGTCCAGCAGTCATCAGTTTCAGAGAATTATAAGCTGGCCTGCTATTCCTTGTCAAGGCGGGTTATGTCCACTATGGCATCATCAAATTCGAAGGTGTGGTTTGGTAAGCGAGGAATATCTCGATGGCCTAAAAATGCTTATCGTCATTGCTAGTCACTGGGGCGTCTTCGGGTTTTGGTCGAGCAGTTACCGAAGTCATGCTTCAGAAAGGAGATAATGTTGTTGCGACTTTGCGAAAACCTGCTATGCTAGATGACCTCGCAAATGTGTACCCACAGAATCGGCTTCTCATCTTACCTCTGGACGTCACAGTTCCTTCTGATATCAGTACCGCTTTTCTCAAAGCGCGCGAGACGTTTGGCCGCATTGACGTTGTATTCAACAATGCGGGAATGTGCATAATCGGTGAAGCGGAAGGCATGCCTGATGACGACGCAAAGCTCTTGTTCGATACATTGTTTTGGGGTGCCGCAAATGTCACAAAAGAAGCCGTGACAACATTTAGAGATTTCAACCAACCTCCTGGGGGACGCCTCTTGCAAATGTCATCTCGCACAGTCCTGCGAGTTGTTCCAGGAGTAGCGCATTACGCCGCAGCGTACGTGACGCCTTCTCGCTCATTGTTTTTACTGACATTTGCATAGTAAAGCAGGTATATACAGTTCACATATCCTTGATTCAAAATATTCAATCGTAAACAGCCCTTGAATCTCTTTCGGAAGGGTATGCTGCTGAGTTGGATCCAGAATGGAATATTAAGGTGTGTTCTACGCACGATATTAATTTCAAACTCGAATTCATCATCCACAGATCACTGTTCTTCAGCCCGCTCGTTTCCGTACTGCCGCACCCTGGACCAATGTTCTCGTACCAGTTCATCCTGCGTACTCTGATCCAAATTTACCTTCCAGACAGTACCGCAGCATATATCCAGGAGCTGAACGTTTTTCAGACGGAGACATCTACAAGTTCGCACTGCAGATGTACAGGCTCGTGCAACTAGATGATCCCCCGTTTTATCTCCCGTTGCACAGAACGGCTTTGGAAGCGGTAAAGATCAAGGGCCAAAAGTTGTTACAAGCTGTCGAAGATTACGGTAGTTGGTCAGATGATGTATATCTTGACGAGGAAAATAGCCAGGGGCGAGCATAATTTTGTAAGCTTCTCCATGCGCTAATTTTCGACATGTACAGTTTGCATGAGTCCTTGCAGGATGCTCAATCCTAAGATATTGTTATCGTTTGGGACCCAAGCACCATTGACCCTCGCTAATCCTGTCCTGCACAGGGAAGTGCTTAAACTTTAGCTTTGGTAGACCGAAGCAATTTATGATGAGTCATGTGCTCGAGCAAGCTCAAAATGGGAAATCTAGCGAGCTGACTTCGCGAAGCGGTGTGAAGCGCCCTTCGACTGCAACGATGTGCACTCAATTTCCACTTCGATTCGCTTCAGCTTTACGGCACTAGCTCGGGTCCCAAACAACAACGACGTTCTAGAATTGAGCATCCCAGTTGTCCTGAGGCTGATATTCTCATAGTTGACGTCGCAGCCGATATCTACTATTCACGCTCTATCAGGTGGACGCCGGTGTAACATCCCTCTAATTCTTCATAAGGCTCAGTTTTGTGATTACCATGAGTGCATCCTCATATCCATTTTCCGCAGATTGATTCCAAGCTCAGAGCTTGGAAATACGCCATCAGATAATATTCAACAATGTCCTCCCCGAAAGTTTGGTTTGGTTTATCTGTTTCTACTACTGACCAGGAAACAAAGCTAACAACTTTCTCTGCAGTCACTGGTGCATCGACAGGTTTAGGGCGAAAGGTTGCTGAATACGCTTTGAGCAAAGGGGACAACGTATTCGCCACCCTACGCAAGCTCTCGATGTTGGAAGACCTCACTGCTAAATATCCCTCCTCCCGCCTCGCTGTTTTCCCGCTCGATGTGACAGATACCCCTTCGATTACCGCGGCATTCAATGAGGCCCTCTCGCACTTTAATCGTATCGACATCGTGCTGAACAATGCAGGGTACTATATTGTATCAGAAGCTGAAGGTATACCTCACAAGGCAGCACGAGAGATGTTCGATGTGTTGCTCTGGGGCGCAGAAAATGTCATGCGTGAAGCTATACGATGCTTCAGGGACGTGAATCGTCCAATGGGCGGGCGATTATTGAACGTGTCTTCCCGGACAGCCATGATTCCACAGCCTGGCTCTACACATTATGCTTCAGCGTAAGTTCACATATTTTGCACAGTTTATCCTGTAGGCTGACATTTAAATAATAGCAAAGCTGGTGGGTAGGCTCTCAATTTCATCTTACGGTTTCGAACTCCAACTGGGCATTATTAGCTTTGGAGTGTTTGTCGGAAGGGTATATCAGCGAACTTGACCCAGAGTGGCACATCAAAGTAAGTCGAATGCATTCCGGTGTTGGACAGTAATTTATCTCGACAAAGATCACTCTCATCGAGCCAGCTCTGTTTCGTACATCGGTAGTCCAAAACCGCGTGGAAGAACCTGTTCACCCCGCTTACGCATCCAATGCATCACTCCCTTCGCGCATATTCCGAGATCTATGTCCTCACATCGAGGAGACACATTTTGACGGCGATCCGGCCAAGCTTGCAGAAATGATCTACAAATTGTCTTATTTGGATGAACCCCCAGTGCGCCTCCCTTTGCATAGGGTCTCCTTGGAATCTGCGAGACAGAAGGGGAAACTATTGCTCGAAGCTGCCGAGAAGTGGTCCAGTTGGTCAGACGATATATATCTTCGTAAGTGAACGAGAACTAGTGTCATATGTCAGGATATATCGATTCCAAGTCTATCTACAAGTACTGTTGAGAATGTTTTGTTTTAGGATACACAACATAGTCTGAAGCGCATTAGTATCGGTATATGCCGCTATGTCCTGGGTAACCATATCCTACATTTCGTGTCAGTCCAGGATAGCCCATTGATGTGTTAGTATATGTATTCATGTCGGGCTCGGCACTTCGCGCACGTCTGTTATTATATCTATCATGATGTCTGCTAGATGACCTGTGGCGTCTTCTGGGCAACTGAATGATAGTCGTCGTGCCTGGATGGGCTGACACCGTTGTCACGTTTGGGGTGTTGCTGTATGCTAAAGACGGGTCGTAAATGGGTGGCACATGTACTGGAGATGCCCCTCCATACACAGAAGACCCATTACCATAGGTAGGGTAAACACCTCCGTGCATCTCTGTGATTCCATTCCCGCCCGCCCGAGAGCTCCTAGCACCATATATTGCAGGGTTTACCCCCATGCCCATACCAGGCGAAGTGCCCAAGTAAGGTGAGCCCACAGTTCCACGCATAACAGTTCCGGCTCTAGGGCTATATGCTCCTGTAGCGTCAGATGGGGCTGGCATCGAGAGTCGCCTGTGTCTCTCAATCCTCTGGCCAAAGTATGGGGCTTCATAGTCGATGGCATGTGGGTCAACCCAACCACCCACGCTAGAACCTGTCATCCTGGGCGTTCCGAATCCCGAACCATATGTGCCAACATCCATTCGACTGTTGTACCCCATCCCTGCGCCTACATCACCTCCGACGGGACCCGACAGATTCTATGATAGCATTGTGTCAGTGTGGGGTGCGATAAGTCAACAGCCCATGTAATAGCTGTCCAGAAGATCAAACACACGGATACTAACTTCATCGAATATATGCGATGCAGTCGCTGCTGCAGCTTCGCACGCTGGCATACAACCGTCCGCATCAGCCAGGCCTGAGATGATATACATCTTGATGGCTGGATAACAAATATTGTGGGTCGTGAGGAAGAAGATACTATCGAGAATTGGTACCTTCTGCAATGGCAAGTCCTATATATGCTTCTCGTTGGCGCTCAATTTCTGCGCAGAGAGGCTCATAAAGCACGTTGTTATGGATCCAGACTCGGTATGCTTCGTAGGCCGAGGCATATCCGATTTCCTGGGAAGTCAGCACATTGATTGCACACTGGTGATGTATTTATCTCATTAAATATTAGTAGAGTCGATAGAAAATATGCCTTACAAGACCACCATATACCCATCGATGCCATGTACGAGCCTCATTGATACCTGTACCCACGGGAGTTATGTTGGCACTAGATAATTTGCTATAGACCTGATTGAAGATCGTACTGAGATAGAGTGAGTGTAAGTGACCATGCTTTGGAGTGACTCGGAGATGTGGTTGTTCTTACGGGTCAATGTGTGGTGCGTGTGCTCTGAAATAATCATATCCGCCCCCTACGCTTGACTAGTGAGTTCCTACGAAAAACATATCAGATGTAGAACTTACAAGAAGGCTGTGGTTGAAACTGAATGGAGGGAGGACGGCCAAATCGTAACTGTTCTCTAAGTCAATAAGATCCACAGCGCTCAGGCAATCGACTTGCTTGGTTGCTTCCCCATCCGTGTAGAGTTGACTGGTAATAAGGATAGGACATAAGTGAAAAGTGCGAATTGTTGCAAAGCAAGGGACGTGCAGCTCCACAGCATACTCGCAGCTATTAAGATGCATTATTGTGAGTGTGACATCACTATTGGTATTGCGTACCAAATTGAAGGTGACCGTGGAGCCGCACTATCATGATGGTACTTGATCTTGTGGAGCACTTGGAGATTTAACTTAGAGTCAGTTCGGCAACCCTCCGATACAAAAATAGACTAAATATGATGAACTTCGTGAATTTTTTTCCAAGTCATCATAGTTTTGCAAAAATAGATAACTTAGCGGATTAGAGAATCTTTTTTACTGCCCTACTAACACCTGAGACATTGCCAGATTGACTGGGGGATAATATGCGGAACATATTTGCGAAATATCTTACATCTATTGTTCACTGGATGACTATCCGTAGGCCTGAATAATGCGGAGTAGAATATAGGGATCCTCACACCTGGGAGCTTACGGTTTATGCTTATCCGTGCTTACTATGCTTACACCCCCCAGTTGCGCAGCCACCGTAGATTATGTAATACAATAGTAGTGCCACTCATCGATCAGTAGCAGTGTAGTATAACTTCCTATGGCACGAATTTCTCTCCATGAGCAGTATCTGCATGCATATATGTTGTCCATGGTTCTCCATACCCTGGCAAATCCAGAACTGAATCTGAAGCTGGATAGTACTTACCTCCTTCTTGTCCCACTTCCTGAGCAAAACAAGCCTATTCTCATCTTTCTCGACCTCTGACAGCAAGGTCCATGTCATATTCTCGGACCAGTGGACATCAGGAATAGGAGGGGGTGGCAGAACCTTCTTTCTCATGGCATTAACACTGGCAGAGGGGGCACTGGAGAGCACTTAGCTGACACAGCAGCGCATGTGACTTATTTTGGTTTGTTTACACCCACGTACAAATTGGATAGTATTGGGGGGTGTGAGCATAAGCATGGATAAGCATAAACCATAAGCTCCCAGGTGTGAGGATCCCTAATATAATAGAATAAAAAATTCCATTTAAGGCAATGCTGCTGTGATGCCGCTGTTCATTTAGGATGAAATTCCTACACATTATTTTCTTTACCCTCTTACAAACTCTAAATCTGTAGGGGGGGGGGGGGGGGCCCAGATTATAATAGATGATTATATCCGTTTTAGGCCACTAACACCTTGTTGGCTCATTCCACAACTTTGAAATATATACAGGTACCACTATGACCAATCCTTAGGCTCCTTTGTTGAAGTTTTAAGATTAACAGGAGGAGACTGCACAGTCATGTACTGCTGCAACCGCTGACCTGCACCAAAGTGGTCCAGTGCATGACCGTGCGGTGTTAGTGAATATTTTTCGGGAATTTTGCATGGAATGAATTTTGTGTTATTTGGCTCGAAGATGACTCAGCTAGATTCTCACGCATCTGAAGCTTCCATGAAAAATACTTTCTGCATATGTTTGTTTGTGGGAACTTCCAGGAAACTTTAAATACATGTGTTACCCGGTTTTGCTTTATAACATATGCTATGTCTCTAAATAACACCAAATACAAACAAGTTTCAACATATTATGTAAACCATGTTCTCTTACCACAGTCAGCTGATCTATGACTAAGCCTGACAAATCATGTTCACCTACATACGATTCACATGGGTATTATGATCTATGACAAATAATGTAGTATATCTAGATATGTGAGAAAACAAAAATTGAATATACCTAGGTACGTGGGAGTAAATTAGCACAGCCACATAGATTCGTCTATATAAGGACCTCTGTTTTGGCCTGAAATGCAATCAATCAGACTCCCAGAGTCACCCTTAATAAAATTGCGAGTGAGGTTTGTGTGTGATCAGCATCAGCAACTGTTACAAGAACATCTAGATGCTTGGGCCCCTACTATTTTTCTCCTGATCCTCCTCGTATCAGCCCTCGCATCATACCCTTACCCGGACCTTACTCTTGTCATCCTCGTCATCCTCGCATTCCCTTTCGCCCTCTACCTGTCACTTCAGCAAAGCCAGTACATTTGGCCGGATCCCTTCGCTGACGAAGCATACCCATGCTCCGTTTCACCACCTGACTGATCCTGCGGACAGTCTCCTGACCCTTACCGTCTGGACGGTAAACTATGACACGATGCATGACGCATCCCCTTTGCCCTATTTTCCTTTCTTGATCTCTGACTCGATGCGCAGTCGCACATGCGACTTATACTTAGACCCGCAGTTGCACGATCGTGCCCCTGCATGGTTCATTTCTCATTTCTGATCTTTGACTCACTTTCTTATCCAGCACGTTCTACCTAGATCGAACGTGCCTTCCTATTATGGTCTTACCCTTTACCGATTGCCTCTCCCGGTAGTACGAGTTATCATCCACTAATACGTCCCCTGTCCTCTATATAAACTCGCTACCATGTACCATATTCCCTAACTTGAATCTACTTGGTTCTTGACCTCCTACTCTCACCAGAGTGATTCTTCTGCCTCGCCAGCAGTCTATATTCTATCTTCTTATCTGCTCATCGCGGATAAGCCTATAGTCTCGATCTTTACTCATCGACTTCGTCGACGAGCAAAGCCCCTGTTAACTAGTCGGACTTCTGTCCTTCTAATTAAACGACGATCCTTACGATTAACCTTCAGGTGTCGTAAGCCTAGGCCGATATAGCTTATTGTCTCGCACCCGCGTGACATAAGCTACCCGATTTGGACATAGGCGTCAAATCGTACTTGCCGAAGACACGCCAAGTACGACCCCTAACCTTGGGCTAGCCCAAGGACGTCCACAGACCGTTGACGACACAAGCTCTGTTTGAGCGTCGCCAACAGATACCATCCAAGTCGTAACAGCAACAACCATGAAGAGTTGTTCAATATTATCAGATACATTGATGAGACAGTAGGAGCCATTGAGCTCACTGTGCTCAACAACCTGCAAGGCCTGGTTATTTGTTTTGAGAAATCTCTTGTTTTTCTGAGTGTTTGTGTTTGTGTGCATGTGTCTCTGTCTCTATCTCTCTATCTGTTTCTCTAGGATTGGGATCTATTTCATTTTGTCTGGGATCTATTTCTTTTAAGTTTGGGATCTATTTCTTTTATCTCTGTTTCTCTAGGATTGGGATCTATTTCTTTTTGATTGGAATCTATTTCTTTTTGTCTGGGATCTATTTCCTTATCTCTGTTTCACTAGTCTGGGTTCTGTTTCACTCTATCTGTTTCTTTAGCTCGGGATCTGTTTCACTCTATCTGTTTCACTCTCTCTACCCATTGAAGGCTAACAGTCTGAGTGCTCGTTTATTGTTGTGTCACTAACATATTATAGATTTTAGTGAATATATACTGAGTGTTTGTTTCTTGCTGCTGATACTAACATACTTTTGATTGTAGCGAATACATTCGAGCCTTATCTTTGGATTCTTCGTGTTGTCTCTACGTCCGCTAAAGGCTTAGAGTAGCTTAGTGGGGAGACTTCAGAAGTTGATTATTGTCCGCTTGACCTCACACATCTGAGTAGTATACTGAGCCAGGATTGTTATTTGTCAGATAGGCTTTAGCTATTGAATAGGGGACTTGGTATTGAAATCCAAGGACTTCCGTTTCTGATTCTGTTTAATACTCATTGTGAGTTCCTTGGCAGCAGATTCAATATTAGGCTAAGAGTTCTATGGAAGCTTTTGACAAATCTTGACCTTTGATCCTACCTGTTTGCGCTGTGGGAGTGACCAATACATCTTCGCACAACTGTTTCATAGTAAGTTTAGAATACAGCACCATTGATTGTGCCTAGCCTTAGTTCTCATTTCTGTTTAGCACCAGTGATTGTGCTTAGTCTTAGTTTTGTTTCTGTTTCTTGTTTCTTTTAGTCAACACCATACCGCTGGGTTGACTAGTGTTTCTAGACTGATATTATAGAGTACCTTTGTCTGACTGTAGCTTGGATATACTGACAGGCCACCCACGAACGACCACATTATCAGTCATTGGTATTTGTCTGAATCACTGACCATGGAGATATTTGATTTTGTACGTGTTCATCTATAGATCATCTATCTAAGAAGACACCGCACAGGTTCAATGCCGTCTTTGCTCTCCCTAGTAATGAACACCGTCCATCCCTTAAGCTCTGGTAAAATTTTGTTTTCTTAAACACTTTGACTTGTTATGTGTACTAACGTTATTCTGACTACTTTCTGCCAAATTTCAGGCTCACCCTTACATATGCCAGCTAGGATCTTGGAGAGATATAAAAGCACTTGTCTCAGGACAACCAGGTAAGTATTTTTTTCAATCAAACACTACTATGTCTGACATCCCCCCTTCACAATCTATGATACCCCCCAGCACCAGCCCATCTTATCCGGAACTGTGCTATAATGAAGCCAGCAACACCTATGCACACAATAACATTGGTGCTTGGGTCCCTCATCCAGGAATTTGCAATGTAAGTTCACTCTGTTCACTTCTATAGTCTCAAATACTCAAGTTCTTACAGGCTTTTATGTCTCACCAGCCTTTTCACATGGAGACTGGTACTTACGCACTTGGTCCAGCCAAGTTCGCATCTCAAACAGACTCTCCCTCACCTAGTTCTTGTGTCAACATGCACCAGGTGCCAGGTAACAATGCCATTGATCCTGCACTCCTCCCTCTGCCTGACACCAGTGATCTGGACTTGATGGATGCCATTACAATCGCAGAGGCACATGACTATATTGCAGCAGCCAAAACAGCCAGTTCATGCTGCAAGGGCCAAAGGCAAGGGAAAGGAAAATGTGCCGTTAACTGTCCCAAGGAAGCGTTTCCGAGAGAACACAGATGAAGATGAAGATGTGCAGGTAAAATGAAGCCATCCTCAAGGCTCTAACAATTACTTCAATCTAGATGTCAACTGTCTTCTCAACATGGTTAAAGATGAGCTCCCTCTTGCCAACGTGGGTGGCAGACCATTCATCTTAAGTTCTGTCAGTGGGCCAAAGTGAACCACCAGCCCTCACACAAAATCACTTTGCTTGAGGTGAAGTAGAAAGATTGCTCACACACCTGCAGTTGGTGAAGACCATGAAGCCGACTGGAGACAGTATTTGCCCTCCACAAGTCATATGTGCCCATCACATTGATCATCTCATCAACAAGCATGCAGAAACCTATGACCTGAATGACTTGGACTTTGAGAATGAGAACATTAACAACAATAACAACAACAATCACTCCATTGTGTCGGACCAGGATGAGCCATATTGTGCCTCACCCCTGATTCAACACACTGCTATTGCACGCTCCACTGCTCACACAGAAACACCTATTCCACATTGCAATGCTTGAGGAGCAGCAGCCACTGATCTTCTCACTCGCATTTCCAGTGCTTTCGACCCTGCTTCCCAGCATAACTGTGATGAAGAACGGGCCAATCGCAGCCTTGCTACCATGCAACTGCTCACCCAAGGCCAGCAGCTGTATGATTTGCAAGCCACATTGGAAACCTTGTGTGGTCAACTGTTTGAATTGCACACTTGCACGTATGATGTCAAATGAGATTGAGACTGTGCCAAGCTTTTCATTTTATTGAAATGATGGAGATGAATGGAACCACACATTGTCACCACATTTGGATGCCGAAACATAAAAACCTACATCAAGAGTGGTTTCCAGAGGGTGGGGGATCTATGAAGTGGATTACTGATGAGGGTGAAAGTACTGCATCTGAGGCACCCAAACCACCCTGCCTTCAAAGGTGTGGCCATTCTGGCCATCTCAAGTATGCTGATCATCCATACTTCAAGGACTTGGCTGATGAGCCTCACAAGGCCATTCAAAGGGAATGTATCACAAGAGATTTGATCGTGCTATGGTACTCATGTAGTGTTTAAGGTACCAATGTACCATGCTGTATGTAGTTTTATGTTGTATTTAGGGTGCCAATGTACCAAGCTGTCTTTGTTCTATCTCATCTGCCTCATCTCCTGCATCGACATTGACATTTGCATTCCTTAACTGGCGCATAACTTTGAACTCACTGACATGATCGATATCTCCTGCATCGACATTGAAATTTGCATTCCTCAACTAGCGCATGACTCTGAACTCACTGACATAATTGATATCTCCTGCATCAACATCAACATTTGCATCCCTCAACTGTCACACAACTCTGAACTCACTGACATATTCATTGCATGTTGTATCTACTAGTATTCTAAAGTAACATGGAAGCGTGAAACTCAATCCTTCTTCCTCTGCTCTGAAAACAACATGTTTTCAAAGTCTTGCCACACCTCCAGGTCATCCTCTGTAGCCTGCCAATGCTTCATATACACAGTCCTTATCTGATTAATACTGACATGTATGGCACACAGGTTGTGCAGCCAAAGACATATTTTGATAGATTCACTGCACACTTCTTGGTTGGAGATGTCGAGCAGTATGTGCAGCCTTCCAAAGGCCTCTTGAATAGCTTGCATGCCCCATTGTGCTGTTTGACAGTTGGATATTGCATCGGCTGATTGCACTTCACAATGCACTTGTCCATCCTGTGTCCTGTCCTTCCACACTAGCCCCACTTGGTGCATAGTTACTTTCATGCACATTTTCTGACATTTGGACTGTGTTATTACATGTTCACAGTGACTCGTGTTTTATTACCTAGATTCTCAGATCCAAAACATTGCTACTATCTTTGCCTATAGTATTCTGGATTTCTACGTACTTACTTAAAATACTCTGTAGTGACCTGTAGTAATCATGATCCAGTAGTTAGGAGCCATTTCCTGACTCTGTGGATCACCCAGAATATTTTTGTAGTTCCTAGTTGCACTGCAAAATATTACCATTCATTCACCGTCATACTCTGTTACTTGTTATACTCATGCATACTGCTCACAATCCGACACTCATTATACAGTTTCCGACCTATTATTGTGAAGTCCGAAATCTCAGACATCGTACTTTGGCTTTGGACATTGGATAAGTACCCTTGGACATCATCAGATTACCATCGGACACCATTTTGTAGCTTCTGCATTACTGATGCATTCATACTACTAATACCATATAGCAATCCCTTTAGCATTGAATGCACTTGCTTTGCAAGTATAGCAGCATAGGTCGTGCTAAAGATCTACCTAAATATTGTTGTCTAGGTAGTACCATTTCTGCTGAGCCCAGCAGAGATTTACTCTTTACAACATCAATGTCCATGGTTGTAATGAAAGTATGATTATTCTGACTCTGGTACAATGCTTGCCATGGTGTATTGCAATGTGGATCAGGAAAGAGTTGGGCATGACAAAGGTAGAGTTGTCCAGGGTTCCGAGTCTCAATATGATTGAGTTGAGCAAGCTCAACAGCAGCAACCAGGCCGGCTGCTAACACTTTCATGTCTTCTTCGTCATCAAGAAGAGCCGTCTCCTCTACGTCATCCATCAGAGTATACTGTAGTAGTAAATCATCCATTGGAGTGCCAACAAAACCTAGATTATTCTATTCATGTGCGTTATGGTTTGGTTTTCTGGATGGATTATCTTTTGTGGATATGTTTCAAAGTCCATTATAATCTATTCTACATTATTTGGCCCATGGACAGTCATCTATTGTGATGCTTGTTTGGTTGTTTGGTGGGGTGTGATGTTATTTTGTTTTTCTCAATTTTTGTGTTTATTTCCTTGCTTTGTGGTTCCAGACCTCAAGGGTGACTGACATGAAGACAGTGAATTTGGAGATTAAGGAGAAACTAAGTGAAAACCTAATTTGAAGTGAAAGTACCTGGAGTGACAGGGCATCCAATAACTGTAGGAGTGGTGTCACTTGGCTTTCACAAATATCAGCATCAGGGGAAAGCAAGAGATTTTGGATTTCTGTACAGAGTGACAAGATATCCATAATGGTGGTGACTTTGACATCTCCAGAGAGGGAGGTAGCCTTCATGGAAGTCCTTGAAAAGTGCTTGCACATGTGCTGACAGTGGAGGCATAGCAAAACCAATTCAGCATCCTCATCAGAGAGCTCCACTTTTTCATAAAGTTGTTTTTTGAACCTCAAGCTGTTGAGCCATAGATCTGGGAAGCTTCTCCAGGAAGCTGGTGATGGCTCGAAAACCTTTGACCCAGAGAAGGTTTGTATTGCTTACCCTGAGCATGGCCATAATCTCCAATTGTATATTCTGGATCATTCACACACTAACTAACTTTGAAGATAATTTATGTCCATACCATTTAAACCACGTTGTAGAGACTTGCGTCTCCACAGACACTCCCCTTGAATTCTCCCATCTTCCTAACAAACTCCAGCTCTAATCCAAAGGATACGTCTTGTGCTGTAGAGCCTCATGTCTCCACAGGCACTTCCCTCCAAATTCTCTCACTTTCCCTACAAACTTCAGCTCTAATCCACAGGATACATCTAGCACATTAGCGCACTTCACGCATCCGCACTCACATTGTCCACGCACCCATCCACCCGTCCTTCCCATGTCCTCAGATGTCCATTGGTGCGTTTTCCCATCATATTCACTTTTTGTTTAATTGGTTTCCATTGCTAATACTTGGTTCTGCGCTTCACATGTAACCAAAGATCCTATTACATAGTTTGCATACTATTTTTAGCCTATTTGGCTTGTCACTTCAGACCTGTGCACCTAGCGCCACTTAGTTATTTTACTTATACCCCTCTATTACTTATGTACTGGGTCAATTTTACGCCCACTTTCTCTGTGTCTTAGATATTAGGGAATTTTACTCGTTGTGTGCAGTGACTATCTAACGTTGAGCACATAAGTTGTCTGCCTTTGCCTTAGCATCAGCCAACCTTAGTTGGGGTGTTAACACTTGTCTCACCTTATCTCTCTTTCATCTCTCTCGCTCGCTAGTCTTTCACCTTCACTCGCGCATGCTACCTTCGCATCGCGCATCTCGTCCTTCACCTTTCGCACTTGTGTGTCTGCCTTTTGCTCATTGCATCATTCTAGCCTTGTGCATCTCTTAGTCTTATTCCTCTATTAGTTGTTGGGTGTCCCTCTTTTTACAAGAGAGGTTTCCCTTTACCAGTTAGCTGCTCTTGGGTCGACATTTTTACTTGTGCCCAGGACTAGCTGTGTTTGCTTAGCTTAGCACCAACTTACAACACAGTTCAGATTCCTCATCTTCAGCGCAATAGCACACTATATTTTATTTTGCAGATTCCATGTGCAGCCACTCACATCTCATGTGCACCGTGTGTCTGCCCTCGCATCATCCATATACTTGTCCATCCGTCCTCCCCATGTCCTTAGATGTTCATTGGTGTGTTTTCTCACTATATTTCCATTTTGATTAATTGTTTTCCATCGCTAATACTCAGCCTTGCACTACGCACGCAGCTGAGACCCTATTATCTACTTCACATACTATATTTAGCTTGTTCAGCTCACTACATCGGACCTGCATGCCTAGTGGTGCTTAGTTATTTTACATATACCATCCCTCTACTCTATATTCTGGGTCGATTTTCTGCCCACTTTCTTTGTGTCCTTAGCTATTAGAGAATTTTACTTGGTGTTTGCAGTGACTATCTAAAGTTGCATGCATAAGTTGTCCACCTTTTGCCTTAGCATCAGCCAACCTTAGTTGGGGTGTTAACACTCGTCTCAGAGCCCCTTCAGTGACAAATTCCGTATTATACAGGTCACCCAACCTACATAATATCCCATATAAGATGGGCCAGCGGACTATGGGCCGATGTTATGTATATCCCCGATGTTGATGGATGGGCCAGGAGGGATATTATTTCCGATGGAGACGGGTGGGCCCATCTATGCTGATATTATACATATCCTCGAAGATGTCGGGTGGGCCGATGTAATGGTTTATTGTATAGATGGGTGGGCCGATGTACAGGAAGTATTTTGTACACGGGTGGGCCGAGGGAGTGGTGGAATATGTATTATATAGACAGGTGGGCCGACATACTGGAATTATTTTGTAGACAGATGGGCCGAGGGAGTGGTGGAATATTCATTATATAGACGGGTGGGCTAATGGAGGGGGATGTTATATAGATGGGTGGGCCGATGGAGGGGGATGTTATATAGATGGGTGGGCCGAGGTAGTGAGATATCTGTCTGACATTCATGGATTACCGAGTCCAAGATGCCCAAAAACCGAATCCCATTGTGCAACATCCATTCCAGACACCTGAACATCCCAAGCTCGAGACTGGAAACTGGAAACTTGTGAAAATGTGTGAAATGTCTATTTCCTGACACCAAACACATGAACACCTGAACACCCAAAGCCTGAAGCTTGAAAGTCCATTTATCAAATCACCGAGTGCCAAGTGCTGATAGACCCGAA